GGTAAACCGCCTTGGGGGTTGTGGGCACCTACCTCAATTACTTGTGGTACAGGAGCTCTACCTTCGGCATCCCCACCGACGAGAATATAAAAGGCGAAATTGTTGACGTTCAACAGGCAACTTTCTAAGTGGTCTAAATTAAATGGCCACCTGCGGATGCCTCGACGCCGCTATCTTATCATAGGCGCTGGAGGTGAGGGGCACGGCTTCGCAGCCCCTCATCTCAAGGGCCTCTCACGGACACAGGGCCTTCCGCATTGAGCAAGCCCAAAAGGCCACGCTCGTAGTGGAAATCCACATTCCAACCTAAGATTGCACGGGGCTCTTGTCCCTAGTCGGGTCCAGATGGCCTTCTACCCGGGGGGCGATGATAGACCAAGAAGTCCTTCGGTGGAGGGGCCGCAGGTGCCCACCAGGTTCTCTCCACTGTCCTGTATGAATACCTTACCCAGTTTCCGGACCAGGTTAGTGGCATTGACTCGGATCATTGGTCAATGGAAAAGGAAGTTTCGACTGTTGGCGGTCCGCCAACTCAACATCTCCACTTACAACTAAGAACTAGTCTGTCTATTGATCCGAGTCTGCTTCTCTGCTCGCCCGACTCGACTGACTTTCCATGGGATGCAGATGGAGCGCCGTCCATTGGCCAATGCAGACAGCCGCGGCAGCACTTGCCAGAGACGGAAGGGAGGTGAGGAGCGGAGCCCGCAGCCGGCTCCCCTCCGAGCTTCACCATTCGTCCCAATTCCGTGCTGAGGTGCCTCGAGGAGCGCCTGCGTTGGGGCGAAGGGGGCCAGACGCTGCCGGATCCGGGGCTCCACCAAATCACAGAAATCCCCCGCCGCGTTGGCGCCATTAGTGCCACTCAGAAAACGAGGGCTCCCTGCAATCTGCATCAGACGTGTCGTCAATTGTGCAGGTCCAGAGAGGGGAAAATGAGGCGCAGTTTGGTTTTGTCAATTGGCAAGGCAAGGCTTCAGTTGGCCGACATCATTTGCACGGCATTTGCTCGACCGAGTCGGCCAATTGAACACCCAAGACGCTCCAAGACGGTCGCCCTGCTCAGGCTCTCCCCACTCGCTTCACAATCGCGTGGTACCACGTTTCCAGCGCCCATTGTGAGCAGCCCCGGCTGTTGTGCACACCTGGGGCTTCCTCTTTAACGTTTACCCCGTACGTGGCCGTACCCGTACATACTATAGTACCTTCCAAGGTACCACCTATGTCGTCAGCATCAGCCACTCCCACCCGATCACAGGATGAAGTGGACTATCAAATCCCACGGCAGCATCAGAAACCTTTCCGTAACCCAGAAGGAGGCCGGGAAAGACGAAGGAAGGAGGAAAACGCATGAAGATGGAAATTCGTCACCAATCTCCTAGATCGTGTCTTGTTCATGCTCGGAACCCGGGCAGCCAACCAGGCTCCGTTTGGCTTCAGAACCCTGGCCGCTGGGCTGATCGCCGACAAGGGCTCTATTTCCACGCACCACAGCCCTGTGGGTTTAAGTTGCCTTGCTTGCATGTTAATGGCTCCGGGAAACCGTTAGGGCGTCGGCTTCTACCCCGCGCAAAGACGCTAACAACTCCAGATCGCCCACAGCTCTCGGGCGCAAATGCCACCCTGTGACCCTGCATCGGCCAGAAGAAAGGTGTGGTGTCGATGCTGTCCGCACGTCGGGACGCAAGCAGGTTTGTTGCTGGCCGCCCGTCCAAGCCGTCCAAACTATTGCCTCTACGACGAGCGATTCTCGCTCTTCACCGGTACCTGGCAGCCGACATTTCGCGGTGGCGAATTGCAATTGCCAACGGATAACCAAGCACAAAGGATATCTATTGGCAGTCAACACAGCAGACAAGCTCCGTGTGACCCTTTCCAGCCCTCCTTTACTTGGCTCACACTTTGTGTGCCGTCCGATATCTGAAGCCTGGTATATCAACACAGACGCGCAGCTATCCCATACCTCATGTGCGCAACTGGACGAAAATAAGGGTGGTGGCCCTGTGGCTACTTGCGCTCGTCGGTTTTAAAAGGGGTGGTGCTATAAATACGCGAAGAAAGGCACAGGCGGGGGCGTGTATGTATATCCACCCGGACGCTCTCCGCGCACTACCTAACCACCAGCATCTGGGCAAACCACCCTTGCCTGGTGCCCCTGCTTTTGCCCATGCCCCAGTTTCTCGACTGCCGATGTGATGTAGGATGTAGGAGCCATGTCTCAGACAGCCTTTCTCGCGAACACCACCAAGTCGTCACCTGACTTGACGGGCCTCCGCGTCATGGGGTTCAGCCTAGTGCCGTCATGTCTCACCTGCATTCCCCTCCATCCTTCTGCTCACGATCTGGACGGTATGCTTGAGATAAGGAGATAGCAGAGGACACTAACTATAAGCTCCCGCTGTTTTGGTAGGTTGGGTTGCGGGCCAGCAATGACGCAAAATGCGTGCGAGAACCATGGCCCGAAACGGGCTGGCCCTCACGTGGGATCAAATGTCTTAATTATTCCTGGCAGGGGCCCGCGAGGAGCAAAAAGCATGACCCAGCACAAACCCACGAACCCGCCCGGCAGCCAGACGCCAACGTTACCTCGGTACCACATTTTACTTCCATTTCATGGCAGTGGAAATAAAAGTAGGGCTGGCTGCCGGGCTGGGTTAGGCTGGTGTAATTCCGATTGCATGAAACGGCGCTCGACATTAGACGTAGTAGACGGCAGACGGCAGACGGCAGACGGCAGGCGGGAGAGGCAGGCAGGAAAAGGACGAAAACGGAAACAAGGTGAACAGGACACCGCTTGTGTCAGGCTTCGTCCTGTATGGCTGTGGGACGCATGGGCAGGAGGAGCATAACAACATGCAGGAGGCCTAGACTGCTAGCTGGGCAATAATTGAGCCCCCTCCTCCCAAGTCTCGTGCCTCTCTCGGTCTCCGCTGCGGCTTAACTCGCGATGCCAACCAAGCCCGTTCCCCAAATGAACAGCAATTGGGTAGGTAGGCAAGGTACACCATGGAGGTCACCGGTATTCCGTTGGTCCACGGCTATCTACCCCGAAGGGGGACACAGAAAGGGAGGGGGGGCGGATGAGCAGTTTTGCCAGTGTGCATTCCCAGTCGGGAAATGCGGTACGTACGACTTACACCCGCCGGGTGTGCCAGGCTCGCGCAAAACGTAGTTGTATGTGTGTACAGTACTCCAATCAGGAAACAGTGCAACCCCTATTTCCGACAATGGAATGGAACGGGCATTGCACTGCATTCGAACGGAACACAGAGATGGGATGGGAGCAAAAAAAAAAAGAAAGAAACCAATATGGAATGTTTTCCAAATCACCCATGAGGCTCAAAGTACCATGCGTTTAGTTCAGTCCACTCGTCGTCGACACAAGACAGGAGAGGTCCATGCACGCATGCGTATGTGCAGGCCAAAACCTCAACTACCTTGCTTACGGAATACTGTTTGACAGCGAGCCTAGAAGGGTAGTTTGTTGTTTCTTTCGTATCTGTACACCAGATACCAGACGAGGCAAAACACCGCCATAGGTATGTCCCACACTCAAATCGTCCGTCACATTCACGGAATTAATGTCTGTCTGCACAACCGTTAGGTAGGTAAGGTATGCACAAGTGACTGGTCAAAGTCGACCCCTCTTCATATGTCAGTATTCCCCTTTTCCGCTTTACGACTGGTTTGACGCGCGTCATTCAATTTCTCTATTTCTTGGTGTCGCTGTTGACGAACGACAAAACACGACAACTGACTAAACCTCCGAAGTCGGCGAGGTCGTGGCCATGACATGACGATGCGTGCGGCTTTGAGTTCCCATTCCACCCGCTTCGCTCGTTCCATACCTTTTCTTTTTTGCCTTTTTGCCTTTTCTTCGTTCTCGTCTTCGTTTTTGTTGGGACCTATGTACGTAGGAAGAGCAGGGGAGAGTTTAGCTTTCTGCTTTATTTGTATGTTTCACACGTCGTCCATCTATCCATCTACCTATCTAATGTACTCCGTGCCTAGGGCTTTGATCCAACCCTCTGAATCTAGGCCCCGGCAGCAGAGCAGGGCAGGCAGGTCAACAAAACACCCCCGGGTCTGTCTATCGTCTATCTCTCAGCATCTTTGGCAGGGCTCTTTGTCGCTCTTGTCATACGCGACGCGACGTTGGCTTAAACCAGACAGACACCAGCGAGGCTCTGCCTTTCCCCGCTCGCTTCTGAGTGCATTTGAGAGTGGGCGCAAATGCGCAGACGCATTGCGTGGCCTCGCTAGGCAGGGAGTCTAGTTGGTGCCAGGCTGGCGACAAAACCGTTGTGTCCACCCCCTCCCCCACCTCTGCCTTAAAGGCAGGCGTCCAGGACTGCCTCGAGTGAAATGTAGAGGCTCGCGGGCAGGCAGGCGCCGAAGCAGGCAGGCAAAGCTGCAGGACTTCCAAATAGACTCGGGTTCAGACCGCGGTGCTGGGGGAAAGTCCCTCGTCTTGTAGACCGTCTGCATTCTGAAGAAAGAAGTAAAGGTGTCCAATGTGGGTAGCCTGCCGCGAGGTAGAACAATCGTCCAATATGGTGCCAGAGAAATAAAGGGCGCGTCTAATCTCGACCACTCGCTGTGACTCAGGCCGGCAAGCCAAGGGTTCCCCGCAGAAGGCAACCCAGACAGACCACGGCTACTACTGTCCAGGAGTCTCGGGTCTAGGCAGCTATTTGTACCACAACTTGACGAGAGGGACGTGGGCTCCGAAGGGCGACGTGCCGCAAGTCTCTAGTCTCTAAACAATTGGGGGGAAACGGGCGAGTGGCTCGCTACCTAGATAGATAGCAGCTGTGGCTAGGATCTCTAAGGAACAAAAAAGCTAAGGGCTCGTCTTTGTAGTTGCAAGGGGGTTTCTAGCGCGAGGGCAGCCTGCCGCATCACTTTCGAGGCGCAAAAGGCTCGTGCGGCGGGTGTAAAGGTTGACCTCTCACCAGGGTTCGGTGCTCTGGTGGCGCTGGTACAGCACATCCCCTCGCTCAAGTAAAGTCGTACACCATCAGGCTCTCTCTACCCTCCTTTGCCGTCTCTTTCAGCACAATGACCATCTCATCGTCAAAGCCCACCCAGTTGCGCCGCTCGTCCCAGTCTCGCAGCGCGCTTGCACTGTTGTCGCCGCCGCTGAGGCCGTTACTGTGGCCGGCCGGCGATGATTGGCCTGGTCGAATCTCGACGCTCCGGCTGCCGATGCCGGTCGACTTCCCTTCGAGCTCCCAGACGCGCATCTCTTCGCCCCGCGAGCTGACGCTCACTGCCTTTCCGCGGGCAGTGATCTCGGCATCGCTAATACCCGACGTGTGTCCCCACAAGCGAATGCCGCGTGATATAGAGAGGGACGAGGTATTCGAGGTGCACATGTGCAGCACCAATGTGTTGTCTGGCAGGGTAGCGAGCAAGTACGGGTGGGTGTAGCAGAGGGTCGTAGGGCCGGGCTCGGGGTGGCCCGGGTCGTCTAAAACAGCAGGAGAGCCGGGCTCAAGGGGCCCAGCAACATTCTGGCGCCGAGGCGTCGCTGGGGGGGAAATTGGGGACTGCGAGGGGCCGCTCGCGTCTATCGGCGTGGTGTACGCTATACGAGTAGTAGTGATCTCTGGGGCCGCCTTGATTCCGTGGGTACTTGCTGGCCGGATATGCAAGTCTTGGATGCCAATGGACCAGCCTCGCCGCGTAGAGAAGGTGTAGGCTATGGATGCGATCGTAGTTGCCGCCATCTTGCGTATGGAGAGAGCGAGCGGCGGTCGCGACGAGTGCGACTTGAGCGAGGTTAGGAGATATGGCGCTGAAACCGAACTGGCGCTAACAGTAAGATGCGCTGAGCTTTGACTCTCGCTTTCCTGACCAGATACTTCTTTCGTACTGTCGTCCTCCTCTTTAGCATCTTGATTGTCCCCTGTCTCGCTAGGGACATCAAATGTATAGAGCGAGATCAACACTGACTCCGTAGCCGTAAGCAGGTACGGGTATGACAAGGCCATTGCCGTCAGTCCGCCGTTGCTGGATTTCTGGTGCCTGTAGCGTCGCACGAAGCGCTTCTCGCCAGTTCGGAGCCTCCAGATCCCGAAACCGCCATCCAGAAAGCCAACTGCCACGTCGAGAATGCCTCGATCAAATCTCGCCTCGTCCAGAGAGATGCAGCTCGGCTCGGCGGCGTCAGCGGCGGCGGCGTCGCCGTCGGCATGCCCCTCTTCGTCCAAACTAACCTGCGCGATCAGCTGTCTGCTCTTGAGATCCCAGGCGCGCAGGGCGCCCGTCCTGTCGGCTGTGATGGCAATACCCTCGACAACTTTGGCAAGCACCTTCTTTCCCCCTCCCTGCTTGGCATCTGGCTCGTCGCCCGTGTCCATCTTGCCGCCGCCGCCGCCGCCGCCTCCTATCCTGAGCTCCTCGACGGCGCATCTCCCCCTGGACCAGTTGTAGCGGATCTTGTACTGCCTCTTCCAGTTGACACCCTGTGGCTTTTGCTCCAGCGGTAGGGGCTCTTCTTCCTCCACCCCTTCCCGCCCGCCCTCCCCGCCCTTGTCATCGTCGCCTTCTTCTCGGCCGGCAGCGCCCAAAGCCTCCGTCAGCGTCGTTCTCGCGCGCTCCTCCTCCCGCTCGTCGCGCACCAGCCCGCCCCGCCGCCCGTCGGCCCAGAGGGTCCGGCGCCCGGAGTAGTGCAGCTTGTGGCCGGCGCCGGCGGTGCTGCCGTCGCGGAAGCCGGGGATGCGCATGGCGCGCGGCAGCACGAAGCGCGCGTAGTACAGCGCCTTCCAGAGCTGCGAGTCGGCGGCCAGGTGGTAGAAGCGGCGCGACACGGGCGCCACGGCAAGTAGATGCTGCAGAGGCAGGAACGAGAGGATGCGCAGCAGCAGCTCGTCCGACAGCGGCGATAGGATGTCCGGCCCGCTTCTGCCCGGCAGTACGCGCACGGCGGCGGGGAAAGTAACAGCAGGAGGAGGAGGGGAAGCCACTCGTTGTCGTTTCGACGGAGGCGGCGGTATTGGCGACGAGGAAAAGGAGCGGTCGGAGTCGGACTCGTTGTCGCCGTTATCGTCGTAGTCGATTTGCAATCGGCTTCGCTTTGCTGGCGCAAGGCCTGACCGCATCGGCCCTGGCTTCGCCATTGTTTCGGCTGTGTCCGTCGTACTATCCCTCTCTGCCCCCTTGATCTGTCGCGCTGGTCGATTGTCGTAGACTTTTGGCGTCCTGGTGTTGTAGTCGTGGAAATGATTCCGGGGTCTAGTCGCCGGCTTTGTGGGGCAAATTATGGGATGAATTAGCCATGCCAATGCATAACTCGCTGGGGGCCCAAGTTCCTAACGTCGTTGGGGTTAGGGTTCGCCGTGTGCGGTGCTTGCGCGACACGTCCTATACCACCACGCTCACAAATGATAATTAGAATAAAAGTGAAATTCTCGTCAAGTATTCAAGCACGATGGAAAATACCCTCTAGATCCGCAGTTAGATTATATCGGATTTGACTTTGTCCTTTTGTGTTCAACCCTTTCGACTCGGCCGTTTATGGCACCTCACAGCATTTGTTTATTTTTGGCCACCCCCTGACCTAGACCGCCCAGTTTCCGATACGACATTCTGGCTGCTATCTCTCTCAAGTGTCACGTACATAGTGCGAAAAAATATCTCCCTTGACCATGAAGTGACATTAAACTCTCGGAAACGTGCTCGGTACCATGTAGTCTAGACCTAGGCAAACGTTGCGGTGATCCTCCCCAAGTTCGTGGCCGTGGTAATCAGCGACGGGAGCACAGATATGAGACACTTTTGTGGACACTATGCCTTTCCCCATTCCATGTCATACTGGTAAAAGGTAAACGAATCTACTGGTATCCTATCACACCTTCCCGTTTCAAGAGCATGTAATAGGAAGGGCTCCCTACGCTTAGACACGTACAAATCCGTCACTATTCTCTCTACCGCCATACTTGCCCGGCGTGGGTTCTGGCGTCTGCAACCCAAAGAATGATGGTAAACCCAAACATCGGTGGAGGACAGGTGGACAACATGGTACTCCATCGAGCCGTCAAACAAGGTAATTTACATGGCATATCTCCGTATCACAGACTCCTTTCTTCATGTCAGCCACCTGTCACGTCGACCCCGAGAGTGCCGCCCACGATCCACTTGATGGGAACCCTGGCGACCGACTCCCACTTGGCCGCGTCCTTCTGCACGCGGAAGCGGTCCTTGATGAACTCGGCCATTCCGCGCATGCGCGGGGGAGCGTCGCCGCCCTTGTCATCCGGGGCCCAGACGATTGTAACAATACGCAGGTAGCCCGTCTCCTGCACGCCGACCTTGATCTGGTCCATGTTGGCGTCGCAAAAGGCCGTGATGTCGCCCGACGACACCGAGTTCCACGGCTTGGCCCACTGCTCCACCACCGTGTCGGCGTCGTCGGCGAGCCCGCCCCGCGAGCCAGCCGGCAGCGTCAGCCCGGCCTGCTTCAGCCTGTCGTACGCGCCCGCCGGCGTCGGCTGCTGCACCTTGAGGAAGATGACGGTGATCTTGATGGGCAGCACCCACCCCAGCGCCCAGGCCGACACGTTGGTCCACGTTGTGAGGCGGTAGATGGTGCTATTGTCGTGTGAGTATGTCTTGTACACGATGAAGCGGTCTGTTGACGACAGTGGGATCTCCATTGTGTGTCTTGTTGAGCGTCGTACGGGCTTGTGTTGCATATTACCCAAGCTAAAGATAAGGGATGTTGGTATCTGTGCTCGATGTGGCGATGAGACGTCGTTTGAGTTAATTAGCAGGACGGGATGGATGTGTTCTCCCATCGATATTAAATGTTTCCCTAGAATACCGCTCGATCACGAATGCGTTGTAGCGCCTATCAGGCAATCACTGGCGTGGCCATGGACGCGCCTCAGGGCTGATGCATCGGTTGAGTGTCACACCACTGCGCGCCGCACACAGCTGAATCGAAGTCAGCTAAACTTCAATAAAACCAAACTTGGGGCCGGATTGGACACCCAAATCCTAGAGGACATGCCGCTAGGCCGCATTTACACCCAGCCTCGATGTTCTGTGTAAGTAAATCTGCCCACAGTGCGGAGGAGGGCGTGGACTGCCTCAATCACACCATTTATCGCATCATGGTGATCGTGACGGAATGGCACCAGACGCTCTTGTACGGGATTCCTAATTAGTACACACGGCCATAGACAGTCACCAGAGCTGAACTTCTTGGGCCAGCAGCATTACTTAACCTAGCCATGGCTCTGGGAAGCAAGTGAAAATCCCAATCACCCTGATGTAATTAACAAAAATGACACGAAAACGTCAAACCACGAAAGAATCGCCGAAACACCCATCTTCACCTTCTTACTTCCCTCACCCACATGGCACCCATTAAGCGTGTCGCACCACGGGACATCTATCTGCACATCTGCCCAATCGATTCTGTGCAGTCGCTCGCCAACCGTCTCGACATCGACATCGACATCGAGCTGCCCTTCATCGCCACGTCCCACTGGGCGATTGTCGTCGGAAATAGAGTGTACGACGTGGCGAAGCAGAAGACGGCCACCGACGGCAGGCGATTCCACATTGGAAAGGGGGCCCTGTCCGAGTGGCAGGAGGCGCACCCGCACCTGATCAAGCCGCCGCTCAAGCTCGGCCAGACCGTCCTGGCCAACGAGCGCCTATCTGAGATTGGTAAGTCCCTACCTCCAACCACCAAGAAGAAGGAACGAAAATGTAAACGAAACCCTTTGCTTAACAGATACTCAATCACCGCCCAGCCGACATGATCTGGGCCGTGTTCAATAGCGGGCACTACAACGTGCTGCGCAACAACTGCCAGTGCTTCGCCGACGTGTTCACGACGGTGATCCTCGCCGGCAACAGCGCCAGCGACCCGGACGCCACCATCAGCGCGGCCGAGGCGCAGACGTGGAACGCGATCCCGCGCAAGCTGCTCGAGATGGACTTTGGGGGTAAGGGCGGGCTGATCGGCATCTCGCCGGCGGTCGCGCAGTTCAAGGGGTTCGTGCGCGTCGAGGCGCGCGGTCGCCGCCTTGACCAGATGGGCGACGACCTCCGGCCCGTCCTGCAGCGCGCCTACGACAAGTTCGACGCCGACGACTCGCGCAAGACGGCCCACGCCGTGTCTATGGCTGCTGGCCAGCTGGCTGCGGCTGCCGCCCGCAATGGCAGCTGTGCTGTGATGTAGTTGGTTGGGAAATGGGGAGGGCCGGTTGTGTTTTCTTTTTTGGTGTCTGTTTATGTTCATGTCAATGGTGTATAGGGTCAGTTGTAGGGAAGGGCGTTTTTGCTGAGGAGCGGAGTTGTATACCTGCCTTGGCATTGAAAGAATCGGTGTCTTTCTCGAGGCAGACTAGTTTTTGTAAAGGCTTTCTAGCATTGTACAAGTACATTCTTCTCGGTGGCATCCCATTTGGCGATTGAAGGTCGGCCACGCACCGTGATCAGCCGTTTCGGCTGAAAAGTGTGGTGTTTGTTGGGCTCGACAGGTCTTGTGGGAGTGAGTCCTTACACGCTTGCAGCCACCCGAGGGCTGCGGCAGACCATTCAAACGCCCGTAGCAGAAGTGCCGAGGCCGGCAAGATAGCCAAACTATCGAACTCACAGATAACGCCAAAATACACAGCCCAATCCGTGAACGGAACGCTTAGAAGTTGGGCCGTATCCAAAATGGTTTCTGGTGGGGCTCTCGATGAGTGGCGGTGTGATTCGACACCAGGGTGAACCTTCTTGAAATGGATGTTGAGCCCACCTAACTTGAACACTCGGACGTGTCGTCCCTTCCTCTTTGTGGTTTGGTCCGTAAGGTGCTGCGCACTTCTTCTGCGGTAGAGAAACCTGGAACGCCTAGCTTGGCAGCCTCTACATGTACATACCTAATTTAGCGAGGAGCCCTTACTCCATTCCGACAGGCATGGGACCGGCTTTCCTTTTACCGTACTTGCCTTGCCCAACCGCCTCTTCAACATTAGATGGCAGGCAAGTTCCGAACCCTCGTTTGGCTTGTTTAAGAGCCTGCTCGCACACTCATTTTTCGGGGTCAGTCCCTGCTTGCTGCTACTGTTTGCCTTTGTCTCTCCTGCCAACTTGCCTGTGTAGGGATAGTATCGACAGTGTCCCACTCGCTGGAATTTCTCTTTGCACGGTAGTCTCCTCACCTATTCCGTCCTGGTAATCATGTTATTGGTTAAGCGGATGGCTTTATTCTATCTAAGCGTGCGATCAGACTTTCAAATTATTTGTCACAGTTCCTCATAATTAATTTGAAGATGCCCCAGAGTCGCAGGATCCCTACGGAGCTAATACGAAAATGACACATGATGATGATACATCGGCCTCATTCAGAATATAATGTCCTATTTTTGAAGAGGTTGAAACGATTGATTAGGTACTGAGCAATTTCCCTTGCATTGAAAAGACATTCATCGCTATCCGGACCTCATTGACAAGCGCCCGCCCTCGTGTTTCCCGAAAGAGAATCACCAATTCCATTCAGAGTTTGAAAAGAGGTCACATCGACTCGAGCCCCGCAAGGGTGTGACGGGAGAGGTCGTTGGAGGATTGGCTGGGCGTCACCAACCTCATTGGTTGTTATTCGGCTGCCTAAACCTGCTGAGACCTTCTGCATCTGCCCTGACGGCGACGCGCGTTCGACAGGGCGCCAGCCTTGGGAGAGAAACAGCGCACATATGCAAACTTCCTCGTATTGCGTCATGTTCTTCATGTCTGTTGGGTCCCCGGGCGAGAAAGTGGTAAAATTGGGTGGTTGGAACTGGGTGCTGCAACCCAAATCTGTCGACGGGATTGATTTAGACTTCAGAGTCTTCGACACAAGACAAATCTCGCTGATACAGTATCCTTGTAGGTTGAATCGAGTTTACAATTCTAAGGTATTTTACGTCCAATTGGATTTTAGGAATGGAAACCGTCCTGGGTGCAAAGATTTGATCCGCGATCCTGAAAGCTGCTCAGAATTAAACAACATAAAGGAAGGGGCACGATATTATTTGCCTTAGACTAAGCTTTTCATGCACCCATCCAACCCCGTTGGAGGGTTGGATTCAACTTTGTCCTCCTTGGTCAGTCCCATCTGCAATACACGGGTAAATCCACCCGGGGAGGAGCGGAAGGGCTGGAAAGGAGAAATCCAGGCGCAGCTAGCGGAGAATAATTACGAGTTGGATCAGCTTTGTTGGAAGCCCTTGTCAATACTCGCTTCCGAGTCTGTCAGGTCCGGAGATGGAACAACGGATTATCAATGAACAGGAACAAAAACGCATACGCGGCCTCAGTGATGGGGCATGTAATTGGAAAGAGAAAAAAATGTCCCGAAGGGGGCGTGAAACCGAGATCTCGGATCCAGCCACTTTTGTCGGGCTGAGCAAAGCCTGGCGCTGCCGTTGCTCTGGCGGTTTCAACGTATATAAGGTGCTGGAATGTCGCAGTCGGAATAATTAGACCTCTAGACTCTTCAGCTCACCATCCATTCACTCACGAGCCAACTCAGCTTGAAGTAGTCGACATTTAGAAACTCCAAGACAACTCCATCGCCTTTTTCTAGCTCAATCACTGGAAAGATGAAGCTGACATTGACTGCCGTTTGCCTCGGCCTGGCTGGCATTGCCTCTGCCCTCCCGCATGTTAGTAGCCCTAACCCAGGCGTGCACAATCGCAAATATTCGGAGAGCCGGGCCGCAGTCGTTGATCTGATAACTGACCGCTCTGCTCCTCGAAGGCTGCTGCTCCTGCTCTTGCCCGCAACGGGAAGCGGCAGTACTTCAAGCGCGTCGCAGTGGACTTTCCCGTCCCTGGCGGTACTGTCATTGCTACGGTCCCCGGAGGCACAGTCACTGCCACGGCCCCCGGAAGCACGGTCATTGCCACGGCCCCTGGCGGTACTGTCATTGCCACGGCCCCCGGAAGCACAGTCATTGCCACGGCCCCTGGCTGTACTGTCATTGCCACGGCCCCCGGAAGCACAGTCATTGCCACGGCCCCTGGCGGTACTGTCATTGCCACGGTCCCCGGAAGCACAGTCACTGCCACGGCTCCTGGAGGCACAGTCACTGCCACAGCCTCTAGCGGCAAGCCGACCACAATCCTCTACACGGCCACCGTGACCGCGTCGGCCCCGGGCGGCAAGCCCACGACGCTCGTCCACACGGCCACGCTCGTGCCCACGGGCGGAGTGCCGACCACAATCGTCTACACGGCGACCGTGACCGCCTCGTCGCCCGGCGACACGCCCACGACCGTCGTCTACACGGCCACGGCCGTGCCCACGTCGTTGGGATTCTACACGGCCACGGTCACGGCGACTCCCCTAGCCAAACCCACCCATAATGTGCATGCCTAATCACGACTAGACGGCTGGCCCGGTCCCCGTAATCTTCCCCAGCTCGGGTGATGGGCCAGGCGGCTGTTGTTACTATAGTCGACGCATCAGGTGTTTCTGCCGAGTGAGGATAGAGAGGGAGGGTGCCTCGGAACCGTGTTTGTCACTTGGTCAGGGAGAGTGGGTTATCGTGGCGAGGAAGGTAATATTTCACAATAGCTAGCTGGGTAGTTGCGTGGGAGAAATCGAGATTAGCCTTGTCGCTCCTGCACAATGAATCGTTAGTTATGCCTCCCTGAGAGAACTGGTGATAATACTCGCAGATGATGTGAATTGGGAATTGAATGAGGAAGAGGTCCAGCCTCAAGTGCTGATTTTTAGCTCACAGTACAAGAGCGTATAGTCGTCATTGCTATAGTATGCGGCAGACGGCAGGCGGACGAGGGAAGGGGGTGCGAAGCAAGAAAAAAAACAATGTATAAGGTATCTATGTATCTCTATCAATGTCAGGCCCCAATGCTGCTATATGCCGTCACAACTCATGCACTGCGTAACTAAACGCCCCATCACGTCTAAACAGACCATGCCTTCCGTAAAAACTCTTTATGCGCCTCGACTCCGGTCTTTGGTCTTCGCCAGGTTCTCGCCGGGCACAGATGGCTCGAGGCGAGATTTTGTGATATGCCACACAGAATTCTCCGATGTCTGTCGAGTCCTACGCCCTGTCCGGGAGGATTCGGCGATTTGCGGGCATCGCGTTCCCCAGGTTAATGTCAGACGGTATCCTAGCAGAACAAGCTGCTAGCTGTCAGATCTCCTCAGAATCCGGGTATCGTCCTAAATAAGTCGTCGTAGAGCTTCCCAACCCAGCCCAGTGTCAGCCCGCCTCTCGCAACAACGCCCAGCCCGCCGGCCGCCCACACCGCCGTGGCGACCGTGGCAACGGCGTTGACCAGCAGCAGACGTCTCCTCCTCCTGTCCTTTCGCTGCTTATCCGCCGCGGCGTTGCCCGTGTGGCGGTCCAGCTTCCACCCGGCGCCCTGCGCAGCGCCAAACCACTTGGCGTAGCCCCACACCATGTGGCCGCAGCCGAGCCCGAGCAGGGCAGCGTAGGCTAGCCACGACACGGCGGGGTGCCGCGCAAAGCCGTGCGCGACAAACGCCAGGCCGACGTTGGCGCTGTCGCCCTCAACGGCGAGGGGCAGCCCGCGGTTCATGCCTACGTGCGCCGCGAGTATTGCCGCGAACCCATACCCGGAGAGGCTGATGTAGCTGAGTGGGGGCCAGCCGCTCCGCAAGATAGTGAATAATGAGGGGGACGACGATGACGACGTCTTGTCCCCCCGGTGGTGGGCTAGGCCTGCTCCCTTGCCCCCGTCGCCGTGATACCCGTATCGCCGCAGGTTCTGCACGCGTCGCAGCAGCCGCACCGCAACCCCGGACCCGACGTGTGCCACCAGGGGCAGCGCCACCAGCAGCGGCTCCGAGAGAGGCGTCTGGTAGATCTCGCGCGCCAGTAGCAAGTACGACTCGGACGCGGGCACCGACCGCGCCACCAACGGGATGATGGACGTGGTGGCCAGATGCAGCGTCGCGAACAGCGAGAAGGTGTAGCTCGAGTAGCGTTGAATGCGCGTTACTGTATTGTTGGCCGTCGCATGTCAGTATCTATCGGGCGCTGGCCGACAGATGGAGGCCCTTCTTTGCGACGACTCACGGTAGTATATGGCTCCATGAGTGCTGCCCCCGCCGCTCAGACCGACGCTGGCGGTTGTCGCCGCTGTACTCGATGTGTTGGTCCGGGATTTGCTCGTCTCCGACGGGGGCGAGCCTGGGTCTTCGCCCTCGGGATGTTCGGGCAGCGGCGGGAGGTCTTTGTCGACGTTTGGCGACTCCATTGGCGTCGGATCGAGTTGCACCAGCGAAACCAGCGTGTCTTGCGACGCCTTAGAGTGCAGCGACTGGGAGTCCATGACGGCGCCTAGCAGCACAGAACCCGGCGCGGCCGGACTGCCGCTTGATTTTGCAGTGTCGCGAAGGCAGTTATTCGGTGGGTGTCGGCGTGCGTCTTTAGCTTGCGTCAGGGACTGACTGCTCTGGTGGCCTGGATTTGTTGAGTTGGTGGGATTACGGGACAGCCAGTGCGTTGAGCCGGCGCCAACCTCTGTTACCTTGTTACCTACAGTAGAGTAGAGCGGCTGGGACAGGAGTGGGGAGTGGAACCTACCTAGGTGGGGTGGGGGTCAGTGCCTGTGACGCGCTAAGCCCCACAGTTGCAGGGGCCTGGGCTTGAGCAGATTCAAGTGGGGCCTTCAATGGCACGCCAGGTAGAAACGCGAGTGGACCTTCAACTTTGGACCTTCCCCTTCTCGCAGCGACTTTGGCAGCCTGCATTTCGACGTGATCTCGATCGATTCATCTGTCGGATTACCCGAGTAACGCATCTTTCATGACCGACGCCTGCCCGCTGATTTATCTCTCCCCCACCATTGAACTGGCTCCCACCGGAGCTCAGGAGAATTCAGGATGGGTCCGCCTCCAGTGAGCAAGGTACGTTGTGGCCCGAAGCTGCAGCTTGTCATGGACGCGCGAGAATCTGCAACTAATTCGTGATTTCCTAGCGACAACAAACGCTGCCCCCGGCGCAGACATCCTCTGCGCGCGAGGCACAGCAGTCATTCTACTGCGAAATCTGCCACAAGGGCTATAGTCGCTCCAATGAATACGAAGCTCACTTAGGAAGCTATGACCACAACCACAAGCAGCGGCTCAAGGAGATGAAAGCCATGGTGCGCGACCCAAACGCCACCGCACGCGCCCGACGTCAAGAGCAGAAGGCCGATGGCGTAATCACTATTAAACTTGGAGACGCAGCCGCCGCATCGTCTGCTGGTACTGGGTCTGGAGGATTCAAGAGGAGCGGATTCAAAACGACAAACTTCACAACGTCGGTCCTCGCCCCTGCCGACGGCGATGCACAGGCTGCCAGTGCTAAGCAGAGCGCACCCGGCAAGGAGGAAGAGGTGGGGAAGAAGGTTGGTTTCGCGCCGAAGGGCGAATCATTCGAGAGCGACACGGAGGATGAGGGGTACGAGGTGTACGATCCGAGATTCCCGACGGACTAAGTCCCCGGAACAAACACCGGCCAAGCTACCAAACCACCCCCATGCAATGTACCGTATCTATGACTGCCCAGGTATGTCGGTTTGTTCATTGCAAATCGCAAGTTAATCTAGCGGGGAACCCTTGGGTTCAAACGCCGTGGGCAGACCACTACAGAGCTAATGCGTCACTCGACTGTAAAGTTCAGAGCCCGGAAATATCTTCCTCCACCAACCCTAGAATAATACGATTTCCCAGGAACCAGTTGCCCAACTGCTGTGAAGCAATATTCGGACCCATGTCTGAATGCGTCTGTTCGAACTGGGCCCCGGCTTGTGCCGAAAGATCCATGGAAGGCATGAAACCGAGCTGGCTCAGATATGAGTCGATGTCATTGCCCACAATGTTCATTTCTTCGTCCTGCCGTTGCTGGGCCTTGGCCTCGACGTACAGGCGCGCCACGTTATACAGCACTTGGCTGACACGGTGAAACTTTTCCACCGAGTCGGAAATCGAGCACACTGGTATTAGCGAGTCTACAAACTCCGATAACATGCTCAAGTCGCTCAAGTTCGACGTTTCGATAATGTGGCAGAACATCACAATCAGAGGGACGAAGGGGACGTAGAAGAGAGTCCTATTTTGCCACCCCAGTTAGACAAGCACAGGGAAAACGACAGAGGAGTGGGCTCGCACCAGTGGATATACGCTGCTGTCATGTTTAGGTCTGTGCCAACTAGCTGCATGCAACTGCTGTGGCCCCTAAAGGCATGCCGGGCTGCCGTGATGCACTCGGGGCTGAAAGAGCTTGGAAAGCCATCGGGGGCCGGAATTGCGCGGTATAACAGGGTCATGGCGGACCAGTGCCCGACGTCGTCTGAGAACACCACCATGTCCATGGAATACGGGCTCCGGGTGTCGAACCCCACGACGCTGCCCTTGGCGTGGATTTGGCGGGCGATCACCTCTCGGTCCTTGGCGACTTCGTTCAGTCTCTCGCCGAGACGCCGTGCGCTCTCGGCGCGCTCCTCGGGCGGTCGTATCAGTGCTGAGGGACTGAATAGTTGCTCATACGCCTTGCCCATGACTTCGGCATGAACAATCCACTGTTCCCATACCGACACCCACGTCTCGTCTGGAACCCGGATGCTTGGGCCCAACCTCGTGGGGACGGTGATGTCGTAGTCCTGAATAATGGACGACCGGCCGAACCGTAGCGCCAGCGCCTTGTCGTACATGTATGCGAACCAGAAGATGGCCGATCTGGTCTCTGCCGCGGGGTCTTCGGTTGCGTCAGCCGACCGCCGGTGGTAGCCCAGAGTCTGTATTATCACAGCCGTGGCGCTGTTCAGTTGCCAGGCCAGCGTAAACCTGGAGTTCTGGATAGCATATGTGGTCTGGAGGGGTCCCGATCAGTCTAGTGTCCAGTGTGGCATTATTCTGGCGTGACATACTCCCAGCAGCAACGCTTCAGCAGTCTCCCTGCGCGCGGGCGTCATTAGCGGGAGGCTGGCCAGCGCCGTCTCCAGGTTGTCGCGGCAGAGGTCTCGGTATTTGACTAGCCCCGCCGCCGAAGGATCCATCGTCTTCTCTTGCAAAATAAAGAGGAGCATAGCATTCACGACGGTAAAAGTGGAGAGGCTGTAGTCCTCAGTGGCGAAATACACCTTTCGGCAGCGATCGGCGAAGTCGTTGATGACCATGAAGCTGCCGATCAGATTGAAGGATACAGGAGGCTTTTCTGCCAGGTGTACCACGTTAGTCTTGTGCTGAGGTTACAGTGTGTCAAAGAGGGGAATGTGCCTTTGATCTCTCGCAACAGGGCAACAGCGATCTCCAGGGGTGGCATCTCGAGATTGCGGATGCCGCCTTTCGGAAGCGGCTTGGCGTGGGGAAAGCGGGCCTCTTGCGAACTGGACCGGTTCTGCATGCCCGCCATTTGCTGCAGAGACGAGAGGGCGGACTGCATGTCGGGATGCAGCTCGTGGAGCGATGCGCGGGCTACTGCCTTCTCGAGGAACTCGCTCGCGAAGGCGGTCTGCGAAGTCATGGACGGCTGGCCTTCAAAGGCCGAGTCCGGCTCGTCGCTGCCGCCGTGCGCATCGGGGGTGGTGACGGCGGAGGTCTCGTAGCGGGCGCCAAAGACATCGCAAGCGCCGGCGACGGGCAATGAGTCGGCCGCCCTGCTGAGCCCCGAGGAGGAAGAGGCGGATGCGCTGCTTTCCGGTGCGGGCTTCGGGGCGGTTACGGCGCTAATGGATGTGGTCAGGTTGCGCAGCATGTCCTCTATCCCGGACAGCCGCGATTCGAAGTGGTCGATCTTGCGCTCACTGGAGAGCCACGCCACAGCCCAGAAAGTCAGTCTCAGGCTCTCGGCATGGTAGCTCTCCCTCGGGAAGGGGGACGCTAGCAACGCCCGGCGACCCGCGGACCCGAGGTAGAAAAGGGGGGAGGGGCAAGAGACGATGCCGTACTATTTCGACGAGATCAAGACTCGCTGGCGACCCTCCTTGGGCTTCTGGGCCGAGCCGTGGGAGCTGCATACGCGATTCGAGGCCCTGCAGTTTGAGCAGGGCGATTCCTTGTCGCATTTGGTCTGTCATATCAATCAGTCCACCCGCCCCAGGCATAGAAGCCCGTATTCGTTTAGAGTTGCTTGCCTTCCGGAGTCGGCATTGGTCGCACTTTTTGATCGGGTTCCGCGGGTTAGCAGACGGTCACATTTCTAAGGCACCCTGCGTGGATGCTTTTAGGGACTCGGTGGCACCTACAGCTCTCTTCGCCGCGTACTCGGGCGATTGGCTGGCACTGTCCCTCTCCCTACCTTCTTCGTTCATCTCCAGCTTGTTGCCGATAACCGTCTGTATTATAATCAGGCGGTTTAAAGAAATACAGGTATGTAGTATAATCTTTGTCTAGCTCCCGTTGTTAGCTTGCATCCCGGATTACGGCGGCCGTAGGTAACTAACACAAGGGCGGCGGTTTTTTTTTATAAGGTGGGCTGGGCGGAGCTGGTGGACTTGGTCTTTTGGTCTTTGTGAAGCGAGAGCATGTGTAACTGACCAGTCGCCAGCGCCTTACATTACAGACCGGATTCCGCGGAGACCCGGGGCGGGCACTAAATTGCCCGAACGGCTGCCGTCAACCACTTGGCGCACAGATGCGCTTGGCGCCAGGCCCGCTTCGAACTTTCACAGCACACATGCAGTAAAACTTTGAAACGGCTGCCAGCTGAGCAGTGGTGCAGCCCAAACGCGTCATACAAACGGCCAAGTCGGGGCTATTGCCGACCTTGCACTGGCTCTAGTGTTTGCCTGGACCAAAGTGCAACGCAGACACATTGGCGCGACTTGGTATCCAGGTACGCGAATGTGGTAATGTGTGTGTACCGATTGATGTTCCTCTCTAGCAGCTGCTGGCCTCCGGGCTTGGACGACTCTTGGAAGCAGCCAAGATCTTTAGCAGCGCGGCGGAGTGAGGAAAATCCCAGCGCAGCGGAGCAATCCGAGATGAAGAATGACCGACACAACATCGCCAGACTTTTAGCCCAATTGCTCTTTTCCTCTGGCGTGACTATAACTACCACCCGTGTTTGCTGCCTTTTTATCATTATTATTGTTGATTTGTGTCGAGTTTGCCTGTTCCTCGGGAGCCGTTTGCATCATGCCCCGCACCGCTGCCGCAACTCGGACTGGTTCAACATCTTAAAAGGGCAACAAACCTCCAAGTGACAAAACGAAACACAACTACTTATCCTTTACAAGAGCCATGGCGGCTCCTTCTCTGCATGCCGACACACCCAAGCCGTATGCGAGTGATTCTGACGGGCAGACTGCCATGCCAGATCAGCCCGGAGATACCACGACCAACAGCAGCTTGGCAAAAGGAGACAAGGCCGGAGGATCGTCGTCGTCGTCGTCGTCCAATAATGGCTCGCCTGGGCGTAGCTTTATTGTAAGTGGTTTATTCACTTTACACCTCTAACGAATTATTGATAAGGAGATGACCGGGAATCTAACTCCGAACCTTCCCTGCAGCGCGTCTTCAGCTACACGGACAGCCTCGGTTGGTGCATGAATGGCGTTGCCCTGTTCTGCATGATAGCCTCTGGCTCGCTGCTGCCGCTCATGGACGTCGTCTTTGGCCGCTTCGTCACCGTTTTCAACAACTACATTGTCGGCACGATATCGGCTGATGAGTTTCGCGAGGATCTCAATTATTACACGTACGTTGTTATTTTCTCCCTTTCCCTTCTTTTCCCCCACCTTTTTTTTGTGTTTTCGTCCGTCATTACACAAACCGCCACCTCCTTTTCAGCACTCCCAAACTTGCTTTAACTTGTACAACAGTCCAATAGCTAACAACCCGCAACAAAAAGACTCTTCTTCGTCTACCTGTTTATAGCCAAGTTCATCTTTGTCTACATCTGGACCGTGAGTTTCCGTCTTGTCTTGTCTCTCCGCGGCTTTGCTTATTCTTGTGATGGCGACCCCTGACAAACAACTGCCGGCTTCAAGACGCTCTTGGCAGCCAACGCCATTAGGACAACGCGAGCGCTCCGCATCGACTTCGTCAAGCACACGCTGCGGCAAGAGATAGCCTTCTTCGACTCGGCCGAGGGCGGGTCTGTGTCGGGCCATGTGACGACCAACTGCAACCTGGTCAACCAGGGCATCTCGGAGAAGCTTGGGCTGGCCATCGAGGCGATGTCGACCTTCGCAGCCGCCTTTGTCGTGGCCTTTATCGTGCAGTGGAAGCTGACGCTTATCACGGCGGGCATCGTGCCGGCCATCGTCGTTACCGCGTGCATCGGCATGATCATCGACACCCAGCAGGAGAACCGCATCATGACCATCAACTCGCGCGCCGGCCGGCTCGCCGAGGAGATCTTTGCCAGCATGCGCACCGTCCACGCCTTCTGGGCCTTCCCCAAGCTGGCTAGCAACTACGAGGTCGTGCTCGACGAGGCCCGCGCCGTCGGACGGAAGAAGGGGCCCAACATGGCCTTCTTGTTCTGTAGCGAGTTCTTCTGTGTTTACTCGGGCTACGCTCTCGCCTTTTGGCAGGGTATCAGGATGTATCACAGTGGCGAGATTTCCGAGCCCGGGAAGATTATCACGTAGGTTTATTCTTTCGTTCCTTGCCCTTGACGGCTGCCGGTTGCAAAATGCCCGCCCTCATGCTAAACACACCCATGGACAGGGTCATCTTCGCCGTGCTTCTGGCGGCGACCGCGCTGACGCAGATCGCGCCGCAAACTGTCGTCATCTCCAAGGCCGCGTCGGCCGCGGACCAGCTCTTCAGCATTATTGACCGCGAGTCCAAGATTGACGCACTGTCCGACGAGGGCGCCCGGCCGGACGAGCTGCGCGGAGACATCGAGTTCCGTAACGTCGAGTTTGCCTACCCTTCGCGGCCCAACGTGCCAGTCCTAAAGGGCCTGGACGTCAGCATGCCGGCCAACAAGACGACGGCCATTGTCGGCGCGAGCGGGTCCGGTAAGAGCACCGTCGTGGGGCTGATTGAGCGCTGGTTCACTCCGCTGGGCGGCGCCGTGACGCTCGACGGCCGGTCGATTGACGAATACAACCTCCGGTGGCTGCGGACAAACATCCGGCTCGTGCAGCAGGTGGGTTCAGGGGCTTGCATATCCTCCCTGCGTAACCGTGTGTTCTAATTAGCTAACAACTTGGCTCTTCCCCAAATATAAAGGAACCTGTCATGTTCAACGGCACCATCTTCGAAAACGTCGCCAACGGCCTGTCCGGAACGAAGCTGGAGGATCTCGACGACGAGCAGAAGCTGAAGCTCGTCGAGGACGCGTGCCGCGCGGCATATGCGCACGAATTCATCGAGAGGCTGCCCGAGGTGAGCTACCGAATCTGATGCCCGCCCGCTCCATGATACCTTGCAGATACCAGTCCAGCCCCCTCCGCGTTTCAGTTTTTCCGACCAGACAGGCAACTGACGGCAGATGCAGGGATACTACACGCCCATCGGCGAGCGCGGCGCCATGCTCTCGGGCGGGCAGAAGCAGCGGCTGGCAATTGCGCGCAGCGTCATCTCTGACCCGCGCGTGCTGCTGCTGGACGAGGCGACGAGCGCGCTGGACCCAACCGCCGAGCACGTCGTGCAGAAGGCCCTCAACAACGTGGCCGCCGGCCGCACCATGGTCGTCATCGCCCACCGCCTGTCGACGGTCCGCACCGCCGATAACATCGTCGTCATGGGCGCCGCCGGCGCTGGTGTCGTTGAGCAAGGTACCCACGCCGAACTCATCGCCCGCGGCGGCGCCTACGCGCGGCTCGTCCTCGCGCAGGACCTCGGCGAGGACCGCCGCGACAGCGACGGCGAGGACGAGTTTGCAGATGCGGAAAAGGACGGACAACCTCCCGGCGGCACGGACCATGGTGGTGTGGACGAGGCGGTGCCTACGCAGGCGGTGGAAGCAGCAGCAGCAACGGCAGCAACAGCAACAGCAACAGCAACAAGTGCCACAGTTCTTTCACCCGCCGCAAAGGATGCTAAAAGCCACGACCTCAATCTCTTGAAGTGCCTATACATCATCGTTCTAGAGCAGAGGGAATTGTGGCTTGTTTTTGGCGTCTTTCTTCTTGCCTGCATCCTTGGAGGTAAAAACCCCCCTTTTCCCTTCCAGATTTTGCCATGTAAATGGGGTCGCCTACCTTGATCGACTGTTTTGCTTTGACTCTACTCATTCTAGCTCCTGCTATTGCTTCTACTGACACACACCCCTCCCCCGGCGCAGGTGCAACATATCCCGCCCTGGCGATCCTGTTCTCGCGCACCTTAGACACGTTCACTCTGACGGGCGACGCCATGACCGAGCGTGGCGACTTCTTCGCCCTTATGTTCTTCGTCGTGGCTCTGGGCAACCTCGTGGCGTATGCGGCGCTGGGCTACTGGTGCAACACTATCGCGCAGGTAATTCATCTTTACTATTTCCAATCTATAGGGCTATTTCCAATCGATAGGGCTAGTGTTCTAACAGCTTGGGCCTCGCAGGACATTGTCAAGTCGTACCGGCTCGAGATCTTCAACAGCGTGCTGCGGCAGCCCATGGCCTTTTTCGACCGCCCGGAGAACAAGACGGGGGCGCTAGTGTCGCACCTAGCCAGCGAGCCGCAGAGACTGCAGGAGCTGCTGTCGTTCAACCTGGGGCTGCTGGTCATCATCACCATCAACCTTGTGTCGAGCTGCGTGCTGGCCATCGTCGTCGGCTGGAAGCTGGGGGTCGTGCTCGTGTTTGGCGCCCTGCCACCGCTCGTGCTCTCGGGCTACCTGCGGATCCGCCTCGACTTCAAGCTCGACGCCGACACGGCCGCCCGCTTCGCCGACAGCACCGCCCTCGCTGCCGAGGCCGTCATGGCCGTCCGCACCGTCGCCTCGCTCGCCCTCGAGCGCGTCGTCATCGCCCGCTACGAGGCCCGCCTGCGCGACATTGCCGCCAAGTCGCTCGGCAGCCTCGGCTGGACCATGTTCTGGTACGCGCTGAGCCAGTCCATCTCGTTCCTGGCCATGGGCCTGGGGTTCTGGTGAGTCTTGTTTGTCCCTACTATTGCATAGTTATGTGATGGTTATTAATGATAGGTGATCTGGGCAGGTATGGCGGGCGTCTCGTCTCGTTTGGCGAGTACAACATGACGCAGTTCTATACCATCTTCATCGCCGTTATCTTTTCCGGACAGGCGGCTGCGACCTTTTTCACCTACAGCACTAGTAAGCTAGCACGCTCCTGCCCGTTCCCGCGCTCGCTTCACTGTGTTTCTGTCAAGGGGTCGTATTGCTGACACCAGGTTCCTGCAGGCATCACCCAGGCCCAGCGCGCGGCCAACTACATCTTCCGCCTCCGAGCGTCGGTGCCTCCCGACAACAGGGACGACTATCCGCCCGAGGGCAGCAGCGAGAAAAAGGACGGAGCCGGCGTATCGCTCGACTGCCGCGAGCTCGAGTTCGCGTATCCGCAGCGCCCTCACGCCAAAGTCCTCAAGGGCGTGTCGGTCAACGTATGGGCTGCTCCCATCTTCTTTCCCCGTCACTACCCCAAACGAGATACTGACAATGCACTACCCCAGATCACACCCGGCCAGTTCGTCGCCTTTGTCGGCGCGTCGGGCTGCGGCAAGACGACCATGGTCAACCTGCTAGAGCGCTTCTACGACCCGTCGGCCGGCACTGTTATGTGCGACGGCGTCGACTTCCAGACGGTGCACGCGGGGCAGTACCGGCGCGAGATCGCTCTAGTGCAGCAAGAACCCGTGCTGTACCAGGGCTCGGTGCGCGACAACATCGCGCTGGGCGTCGACTCGACAGAACCCGTCTCGGACGAGGCTATCCTCGCAGCGTGCCGCCAGGCCAACATCAACGCTTTCGTCGCGTCGCTGCCCGACGGCCTCGCCACGCCGTGCGGCGCGCAAGGCCTGCAGTTCTCGGGCGGCCAGCGCCAGCGCATCGCCATCGCGCGCGCCCTAGTCCGCCGCCCGCGCCTGCTGCTGCTCGACGAGGCCACCAGCAGCCTTGACACCGAGTCGGAGCGCGTCGTGCAGGCCGCGCTGGACGCTGCGGCCAAGGGCGGGGATGGGCAGCAGCGCCGCACGACTGTCGCTGTGGCCCACCGCCTGTCGACTGTTAAGGCCGCCGACCGCATCTTTGTCTTTTCTCATGGTAATGTCGTCGAGGCCGGCTCCCACGACGAGCTGCTCGCTGCCCGCGGCGTCTACTACAACATGTGTCTGGGCCAGTCGCTAGATCGGGCGCCGCCGTCATCATGTTGATGACAGATGTGTCTTGTGTCGCTGGAAACTGACCCCTGTCAGGACGACGAAAACAGTAGTGTGGCTCCCGAGCCACTTGAGCCACATGCCTCCATTAGCTTGTGCTCTCTCGTTTGTATAAACCACTAAAATAGACTACATAGGTAGACATTTTTCCTTCGTAACTAAATTACCTTATCATTCATCCACATGCATGCCTTTGTCACTGCAGTTCTTAGCTCTGGTGTCGTCTTATATTGTTAGGCAAGCTGTGAAGTAATCAATTAGATTCGAAAGGCGAGCATTTCAATATGTTGTTGTTCCTACCAATCAGGTCATAATCTGGCAATAGTTAGGTATTAACTACCCTAGCTATATAGATATCACGCCGTTTGACTATATTCATCTCAGTGTGTGTTTGGTGAAGAGTACTTAATTATAAGCTATTTCACTTTGGTGATGATGGATCAAACAGTGGAAGTAAGTCGCTCCCAATTAGAATAGACAAAAGAAATGAAATATCACGCCGTAATGATTATAAGATAATAATAATTACCTCTGATCTCCAAAGACGAACAGAGAGTATGGTTAGGGTTTCCCCCTTATTGGGGGAGGATGATCTGTATTTTGGAGCTCTAATTAGACCTTCCGCCTGCAAACTTAGGAAACCCCAACCGTTTTATCACAATTGTTTTAGGACCCAAGCAAGAGGAAGGGGATCATTATTCGGCGAACCCATTGTGTTCTGGCAGTGTTCCCACACCACAGCTCATCTCTTGGAGGAAAGGAGGCGATTGACTGCCCGAGCCTCGAGGAACGAGGGCTCCAGGAGTCCTCTCAGGCCAGCGGACGGCCTGGATCTGACTAAAAAATGATGAACGTTGTAACGCCACCTCCAGCAATACCTTGGAGACTTGGAAACATTCCCTCTCAGAAGCAAATTTCCTCGTGTATTCTATCCAAGTTCCTTGGTCCTGAACTCCGTTTCACCTGCCAACAGTGACCTGCTTAATACATGACAACCAAAAAAAAGGACTGCTTCGCCCGCGGAACCCCGCCGTCAATATCCACCCAATCGGCACAGCCGTGGGAAGAAAGCCATCTACGTGTAAGAAAAACTCAACTCGGCCTTGCCGACCTCTCTCCCGCGATAGAAAATTCGGTAGACCAAGACGCCGGCCTCATCTCCCATGCGGATGTTCAAGACTAGCTCTAGTCTATACCACTTATGGCCGTTTTCATCCACCGTACTCTTCACTTTCGTTAGGTCGATGCTCTCTAGAGAGTACTTGATTGTGCCCACATGCTCAATGCCTGGATCGTGTATATTAGTCGCATTCCAATGTGAGGGGGTTTCGAAGTCAAGCCAACTCACGGTCATTCTCAATGTCCTCGGGCGCATCATCCAAGCTGCAGGAATAGAGTTCGTGCGCATCTTCTAGATCACCTCCTTCACTAACATACATCCCGAAGGTAGTGTTCGTCTCGGTGTCTGTATTGAGAATCGCTCCCTAAGGTGAATTCGAACCATTTAGCAATGTTTGAGGACGGGCGGCAGCTAGGTGGAACTTTACCTTTTCAATCTCCCAGATCATGAACCCGGTCAAGTTTTGGGTCTTGGTAAAGTGGTTCGTCCATATGCACCTCTTGTTCTCGTCAAAGTCGAAATGTATTTCTGGGTCGTACGGCTTTGAGAGCACATATCCATAATGTCGTCTGCATTTCTTCTCGTCCGAGATCGATCCCTCCACACCTCGGAGGACAGCACCGCATACAACTGCAGACCACCTGATACTATATGTCAGCAACGGGTTTTTCAATACTATCCACGTGGTGGGAAAGCATACGCGCCATGCCAAGGAGTAGTGAGCCGGATATCTCGCTCAGCGCACCATGGGCCAAGCCTATCCTTGATGTAAAGAGATGAATCAAATCCGCCGACGAGAACAATGGTTTGGATCCTCGGTTCGTTCAACCTCTTCGCTTGGTCGACTTGATCAGCCACTAGCTTGAGGATCACGTCAACCACAGGGTCAAACACGGTGTTCATGTCTTCATTGTAGAGTTTGATCTGACCCATGCCCTCATCGTAGTACTTCTCCAGGTCCGGAGTGACAACCAGGCTCCGCATGGCCAGTGCAATTCGACGCGGTCGCCTGCTTGGATTACTAATGGTGAAGTCTTGCTTAGCTAACTCAAAGTCGTCCATGAACCGGCTTCCTGGTCCAATATGTTGAGGGCCAAAAGACGTGAAGGCAGTGCCGAATCTAGCAGCGAGTAGCTTGTATAGATTTCGATCCACAAAGGTCCCGCCACACTTTCCGCCTATAGCCGAAACAAGTAAGCAAAAGTTCAAACATCAAAGGTTTAAATTGGTAGGCTGGTAATTACCTTTCCCAATGGTAATCTCACGGAGTTTGAGAGTGGGGGTCTTTCTTTTCACCTCGTATGTCGTAATATCCTTGGGCAGTCAGCAACAAGGCGACCAGCGACCAGCTGAACCCCTTGTGGAACGAGGTAACTTACAACCGTGCCTCCACCCATGTCGCTAACCATCACACCACTCTTTTCCTGTCAATCAGAAGTGTCAACACGCTGGCTCAAATCCAAACTTTTGAGCGGACGAAGTCACTTACATCAATCAGGTCCTCGATATGATGCATACTGGACTTAAGGGCAAGATGGGCAGCAGCCTCAGGCTCTGGGATCAAGAGCAGCCGATCATTGGGTTTAGAGCCAAAGCTAGCATCTAGGGCTGCTGCTTTCGTAAGAAGCTTTGCTCTCTCGCTCCAAGTGGCAGGAACCGTGAGCCAGTAGTCGACGGGGAGATTCTGCAGCTTGTCTTCGCCGATCCAGTCGATGACGGCCCTTTTGTACATGGCATGTATACCGCGGAGGTACTCTGTGATGACTTCCTTGGCAGTCCTGCCCTTGGGAAGCTTCATGAGGCCGTTTCCGGCGGCCTTGTTCAAGTCCGGGTCGTCATACTCGGTCGCCAACGCTCGGTCGTCGAGGAGCAGCTTGGTCCAGGTATATGTCTTCATGCCCGGCTCTATCTGGTAGCCTTATGCGTTTTCTTCCAGGTCAGGATTTTCGTCCTTGAAAGCAATCCACGACGGTGCCATTTTGAAATGACCGGCCTTGTGAACCGAGGAGCCTGGGTACTCCGTCCAGGCATGGATATCCTGGAAATCTGCAGCATTGGAGAGCGCGAAGCTGAGTCCTGCAAATCCATGCGTTAGCGAATGTCAATGGGGTCACTGTGGCTAGCTTGTTTTACCCGAGTAAGTGGTGCCATAGTCGATACCGACGATGAGCTTAGTTCTCTGTCTGACAGCGATTTCCACCCCGGGGTCAGCCATCGTGAATGATGGTATACAAAGCTGGTGTGGACTTGTTAGAGTCAAGGAGAGCTGCTGTGGGAGACGATGGGATCCAAGGACTTACCAATAACACCAGTGTGAAACATATGGGTACTTGTGAGTGGGCTGGCAGATTCCAATTCTTCTTAATCTTCCCTCTCATACCTAATTCCGGAAGCTAAGCGACCCAGCTGCAACACAGCCGCAAATGTTGGAAGCAGGCTGCGAGACAGCGACCACCTTGATACCAGGAAAGGGCGTGGGGGGTCTTAGTTGCATCACAGGTCTCACCGAGTAAGCCAGTAAAGATTGCAGCCATAATCACACGCACTAGCGTTGTGGTGGTCTGGTGGGACAAGACGCTATGGAAGACCGAAGAACCTAGCTGATAGAAAAGGACAGAGCAACCTGGAGCAGAGAGCTCCTCGCGCCAGACTGCAAGTCCCAGGGCGGTATTCCAACTTTGGATTGTGTAGACGTCGTTGACCCCGAGACCCGTCGTATCCCAATGGCCGAAAGCACAGAACACGGCCCTACAGAGGCCCTAGAGAATATCAACAACAAGCTCTAGTCCGGAGACACACTTGCTGCGATATTCACGACGGATCCCCAACCCACTTGCGACCAAAATCCCACTGAGCGTGACGTTTCCCGCGGCGCTTCCAGACAATCGTCTACCAAAGCCTCCGGCCTACCAAGTGTGGAGGAGGTCGAGTCCATGGGAGAACGGAATGTAATTGCGAATGAGGTAAGGCGACAAACTTTTCCCTCAAATCTTTCCCAGGCGTTCTATCTAACGTCTGGTTTTGCAGTCAGCAATGGGCCCCCGAAAAGATGGCTACTCCAAAGCCAAAACACCGTCCAGTGGAGACCGTGACAGCAGGAATGACCGCATTTCGACGAATGCCGGAATCGTAGAAAGCAAAAGCCAGGGCGGCAAAAAAGCTCGCCTGGGCGACAGGCACCGAATCCACCCGGCCCCGAAGATGAGACTGCGAGAAGCCTTCAACTCTCGAACCAGAAAATCGAGAGACTCAAAAAGGAGAAAGATGATCTGGAATATGATCTCAAGAGTCTCAAAGGCCAAATGCAGAGCGAGAAAGTTTCTGTCCTGAAGAAGGAGAAAAGGGGCCTGGAAGATCAAGTCAAGAGTCTCAAAGCCGAAATTCAGAACGTAGTGGACAAATGGCAACAGACGTACAACGCCCTGGGAAAAAAGTACATCGACGTCAGCACAGAATTGCGGAAAGCCGACAGAGATTTGGCGGAAGTCGATGCGAAGTACAGCCGATCGATAGCCAAGCACTCAAAGTTGCAGACGACAGTGGACGACTTGAAGAAAGAACTGCAGGAGGAGCGCAACCACAGCGCAGCTTTCATGAAGAACATCGAAGCTCAGGAGGAGATCGTGACCAAGGCACACTCAACGGCGATCTCGCTGCTCGCACGAGACGTGTCGAGTGACTTCCCAGACGACGAGATCAAGAAGGAAATTCGCAACTTTCTCCAGAACAGCCTTTTCGGTTGGTGTGCGGACAACAGTGCACGCCGTATTGCTGGCCCCGAAACTGCGGGACCGTTCCTAAAGCAGCGAGGACTGCTGCTCAGAAACAACGACGACCTCCCTGAGCACCTCCAGTTCGACATTCAGCACAACATGGCACCCGTGGTCCTGCTGCAGGCGGCACTGGCGCATGAGCTATTGAGTAAGATGCTGTTGGATCCATTCTTCCTAGGATCTGAGCTCGAGATGGCGACACCGCAAGCACCCGCACCCGAGCCCGCATACGCGCCTGAATCAGACCACCGACCAGCAGAGCTGAATATGGGAGGGGCATATATGGCGGCTAACCGTCACAATATAAACTCGATAGGAAACAAATCGCTTCACTCGCACATATAATCATGCTGCAGCGCTACCTGATTCATACAACACATCGCTTCACTCGCACACGTAATCATGCTGCAGCGCTACCTAATTCATACAACACATTACTTCACACACGCACACAAACCTGCTACTCTAGACCTATACTTCTTTTCCATGCCACCACTAATGCGGTGATCAAAGTGAAAAAAAAGGATTGTTTGTTTCCAAACGGGTGGTTTGCCAAAGATTCCCTGACCGTAGACGTTGCTATGAAGTTGGACATCTCACACCTTCTCTTTCAGCAGAGAACGCCGCCACGACGCGTGCTCTCTACTGCCGGTCGGTCGCCAGCCTATGTAAAAGCAAGGCCCCTCCCGGAGCGTCGTACGGTTAGATATGGAGTGACGAGAGAAAGAGAAAGAGGAAGGGGACGAACGGAGACAACGGTCGGTTTTATGGAGAATGTAGGTGGTCCGTGTACGACTGCGAATTTGGAGGGGCTCCACTGTGAGAAATTGTGGGTCGTAGCCACCTAGCCTTGGTGTTTTTAGTTCCTAAACTGGAAGTCGACTGTCAGTTGCCGTCGGCCCGAATTGGTGACTTGACGCATTTTCAGCTCCGACGATGATTGGTCCAAGATGATCCGTGAAATTGGCTCTCTCAAGCTGGCCTCGCCCTTTGGCAGCAACTGCTAACTCAGGTACCCCGATCGAGCTCAAATCTCGATTGTTGAACAAACGAGGCTACCAATTCCGAACAGCCCAGAACCAGCAAAGCAAACCCCTTCCAGCCCCGATGCTGCGCACTGCGCCAGTCGAGACAGCTAGCCTCACGACAAGGCTAAAGAGAATTCCGCAAGCAAATTGCTTTCCTAAAGGGAAACGACGAGAAGCAACAAAGCGGAAGGTTCAAGGCTGCTAGACGGGGAGCGCCAAAAGTCTTTACTAACTACCTACCTATGTGCTGTGTATAGCCAAGGTTCACCCCAATTAGCAGAAGTAAGTTGGACTCGCACAAATCAGATTCAACCGACGGGGGGTAAGCGATCCCTCTGTTCACGACCTTCAAGTTTCTGTCTGTTCAAGTGCCAATATTCGGCAGTATGACGGTATGACCGATCTAGAATACCATCCCTCCTCCTCCCCCAGCCTAGCCCAACGCTACTCTAAAACACGCTCGGAGCCGGCAGCTTGACGTACTGCTTCAGCGGCGTGGTGCCGTTGAAGTCGCCCGCGATCGCCTGCACAAACGCCTGGGCGACAAGATCAGCGCCTTCAGGGCTGGTATGCGTATGGTCCTTGGGGTAGAGGGCGTTGGTCTTGGCGTTGCCGAGCTTGAGATACAGCGCAGCAACAGCCTGGAAATGATCGACGAACGTCGCCCCAGGCGCGCCGACATCTTTAGCCGCGCGCGCGGCGTACTCGACAAACCTCGACGCGCCCGTGCCGTACTTCCCGCCCTCCCACATGTTGTTGGGCGTCTGGCTGCTGACGACGACGAGCGCGCCCTTGGCGACGAAGCGGCGCGCGGCGTCCTCGACGTAGTACGCGAAGGTATACACGGTCTCGCCCGTCTTGCCCGACTTGCACGTCGTGTCGAGCGCGGTGCCCGGGCAGTCGCTGCGGCCGTTGTCCGACGCCGAGTTGGGCGACCCGCCGTCGTTGTGCCCAAACTCGATCACCACCACGTCTCCCGCCGCCACCAGCTTTTCGATCTCGGTGAACCGCCCCTCATTCCAGTAGCTCCGCGCCGATCGCCCCGATATTGCCTTGTTCACCACGGGCACACTGACGTACTTGCCCAGGTACTCGCCCCAGCCTGTTCGTAGCAACCGTGTGTTAGAGCGGGGATTTCTCCAGTTTTGGGATGCAGCTCATCTGGACTCACCCATGAGCGGACTCGCCGTCTTGGCCATAGTGCTGTCTCCCGCGAGGTAGATTGTCGGCGACGCGCGGCGCGAGAGCTCGCCGTTCTTTGGCCTAGCCTCGACGCCCACGGCGGCAAGCGCCGCCGTGAAGATTGCTGGCTGGAAACGCATGATGGGCGTGTTTCCTGGCAAAGCTCTGTTGACGATGTTCACGGGGTGCTGTATTGGTTTTCTTCGCGTGGTCACAGCGGTTTAATCAAGCCCTTGAAGGCGAACCTGTCGTGCTGTTATAGACGACGCAACGGGACGACACGTCCGCTTTTTTGTCGCAAGGGCAGGGCATACTAGCAAAGACGATACTACCCTGTAGGTGGGAGAAGCTCCGGTATATTTAGCGGGCCTCCCGACGGAACGGGCACAGCTTGGCAATTTGCAGCCCGACTGGCGAGGCGGCTAAAAGGGGTTGGCAGAAAGGCCACAAGCTCGTTGGTGGCCTTTGGGAGCTGGGGCGGATGAATTGTTGTCTGAGCGGAGGATTCCCGGGAAAACAGCCGCTGCTTCGGGACCCGGACTCATGGCTGCCGAGGTGCTCGAGTCTAGTCAGATATAGCGTGTAAGGGTATACGTGGAATAAAAAACCCGGATCCCATTCCGTGGCTCGCTTGGCCTTGATCCAGACCCCAGTATCTAATTAGTTTCCAACGAGCCCTTGTTCATGAGTTTTGAACCGAAGAATATTGCATCGGCGGAGACTCCCAGAAGGAAGTGACGAGGACAGGGGTCCCGAGGGACCACATTGCAGTTCGCCTGCCCGCCTCTGTAAGTGTGTTTCACCTAGGAGTGGCACGCTAAAATAGGAACAAATGAATACAACTTGAACTATAGCACCTATAAAATTCCTAGTGCTAAGGATGCGGTCCGCACGACTGGCACAGGCCTGGCCGAGCTCAGCTTTCTCATGGATCTTCCGCTCCTGTCCCAAAAATCGCTCCTAGAGTATACGAAAGAAAATATCCGGACGCAACCTTTGTCATCGTCCGGGACCCGTCACACCGTAAAAATGCGGTCTCTTTAATCTTCGTTCATTTGGGAAGATCAATAAGAAGCTGAACTTGACTAGGCCTGCTTCGGTCGTTCGTACCGCATCGTTGCGGTGTGAAGGGTCCTGGACGATGTCGAAAGTTGCCTCCGGGTGTTTTCTTTCGTCTACTCTAGGAGTGACTTCCAGTCAAAATGAGCCCGCAGCCTCCTGCCCGCAGCCTCCTGCTCCTTAATAGCTTATACCCATCACCACGCACACACTGTCGCCTCAGGGTATAGCTGCCCAATCACAGCAAGGTAGCAGCCCGGCACGGCAACGACGCGCTGGATCTTCTCTGGCATAAACATGGGGTGCTCATGTTTGTGCTCATGATAGCCGATAGGGGTGTACGGCTTATCCTCCGTCATGCGGAGGGTAGTTGTGGGCACGCGAGCGTCGAGCTTTCCGCCGTTCATCGGCGTACCCTCCGCGCTCAACTAGGGCGTCGCTGGGAATAGCTGCGGGTTTGGAGCCCGCAAAGCGAGCTCCTCTGCACCAGGTTTCTGGCGTTTTCGCGCGAGCCTTCGCCCTCGCCCTGGGAAGAGGGCCGGGCGGGCCGGGTACAATGCCCCGACCTGCCCAGACCCCCCTCCCCTGCTGCAGCGCGACTTCTTCACCGCCGTCTTATCATATTGCGCCTGGATTCGTTCTGCGACACTTCTCGAGAGGACGCCATCCCGATGTGGCCGGGTGGCGGTCCTCGCCTGGAGACAACGAGGCAAGCTCAAACTGGTGTATAGATTTCCCGAGCCCTCTTTAACTGTTGGCCCCTGGGGATGTAGAATTGCTTGTTAGAATAAGTCGGACCCTTGCTCGCTTAGGCGGCGTCGGAAAAGTCGTTGGGGGGGAGTCCACAGTGTTCTCTGCGGGGGTTGGTAATCCTGGAAGCGCTCGACGGCGGCCTCGGCGGTGCGCGAGGCCAGTCAAAACCCTGCGGGCTGCCGGACCGCCGTGGCTAAGCAAAGTTTTCCCCGGTTCGCCAGTGCCTCGGTAGAGCTCTCCCTTTTTCTGGTCTCCTCTTTCTTCAACGTGTGAGACCTGCATTTCCGTCCTGGATGATGCTGGCGGGAGCAACGATGGTGGCGAGATTCATGACCACTCGCGATGATCGGCCAACGCGAAAAGCGGATCGCTGATGACGTTGGTCTAGTCGTTGCCTGGACAGAGAATTGCCGAGTAGTTTTCCCTGTATGGTGAATCGCTGCCAGAGACCCGAACTTCACGGCCAGAGGCCTGCCGCTGAGAGAGGATGGCGCAGGTGGGGTCCGCAAAGATATCAAATCTTTGCTCCCATAGTTGACCTGGTGTGTCTCTTTGTTCCCCCCATCAACACCCCCCGATTCCTGATCCCAGTCTCTCCCAGGCCAAGAAAATCAAGCCATCTCGTTCCCATCTCCGCGTCCTCTTCCGTGGCTCATCCCCGTCATTGGTGGTTCTGCCTCCTGCGCGATTCTCGCGTCCGGCGATTGTTTTGCTGTCAGAACTCGCCGCCGTCCCTGTACGGTGTCCCAAATAGCCGACCCGCACAAGGGGCAGAGGCAGGGCCGGTCTAGAATTGAATAAGCGACCGTCTCCATCTCGGTGACGGCAGCTCCACAATGGCCGATCCGCGTAAATGACGAAATAGGGGTGGTAGCCGTCGGTGCCAGGCTCTCTATCCATGATGCCCAGCACGTTGGCGGGATCTGTGGTCTCCTCGGCCGCGTCACCACGACCAGCAAGGGCGACAGTGGTACTACGGGCGCTACGCGCAGCAGCCGTAACATGTCGGCGGCGGCAGTGTCGGCTCCAAATAGCGAGCCCGCGTAAAAGAGGACGGTGGCGGGACCGAGATGAGATCTCATCATATCATGTCGGGGCGGCGGCAGCTCTGACCAAGATGCCTGAGAGGGCTGACAGTGTTCATGAGTGGCGAAGAAAGGAGGAACAATGGTTCGGGAATCGTCCCGGCCAAAAAGAAGATCGGAAAGAGACTGCCCTTCAGCAATTCATGTCAGTTAGCCCATCGTCTTCCACGCTGTTTTGTGATGGGGTATAGCAATGGAAGGGGCGATATTAGCACGAAGGTCACCGTCATGATCAGACTCTGTTGCCATCTGTGCATGAGAAGAGGTGGGATGCCGAGCAACGCCGGGTCAAGGTATAAAGGGATGGCAAGGGGTCTTACAAATCGGCTCACGACGCCAGGTGGCCGGGGATCTTCTCTTCAGCGGCGGCGGGCTATGCAATAGCCTGTTAGATTAGAGATATCGATTTCGGACAAGAGCAAAGGCATGAAATCAAACAGAAATGGCCTGGCTATGCCGTGGCGACAAGCTTACAGGGTCTATGCTGCCAAAAGGAGACTGGTTAGGCATTGGAGTCTCCCAAACTGCCTGCAGCAGCTCTACGAACAGCGCTCATAGCATGGGGTTCTCTTACTAGTGTGCTGGGGAGAAGAGGAGAGAAGGAATTGAGATTTTTCCTATCTCGACGGCAGAGGGGACACTTGATGACTATCGTGACTGAACGTGACCAGAGAAATACTGACAGAAATGGCGCCCGCGACGCTTGTTCTCCTCTCCTGGAGGCTTTGCCTCTGGTTTCGGCCTCGAAGCGAAGCAGGTCAGCACCACCCGGAGAATCAATTTGCTGGCGCTCCCGGGAAATTGGTAGAAAACGACTAGTACGGCCATGACGAGGGATGATAGCGGATTCATGATGTGAGGCATGTGTGTGTTGATGTGATTGTGGATATTGGGCGGAATTCGAAGGAAGATGTGTTCGATTTCGGAAGTGCGCGTGCCGAAAATTTGTGGGTAGAATTTGAGGGTAAAAGGCACGGGGGACCAAGTTGAATCGAAGCTGCCCAGGCTGGAAAACTGGGAGCTAGGTCGAGCCGCCAAAGTCAGGCATGGAAGACCCGGTGGGCCACAACCTGAGGCGTGAAGCCCATGGGAGCGGAAACGGAGACCAACACACAACATTAGAGAACCTCTCAATATTTCAAAGATCTCTGCACAAACCAAAGCGTAATTACCTAATTTGCTGAAATGGAAAGACGGGTTTCTGATTACGAACCTGGTACCTTCGTACCTTGGTCAGTACCATGATAGCAGAACGAAGCCCAGTATAGACCTAGAAGCTGATGCGGGTTACACAGCGCCCTGAAGCTCGTAATACCAGCAAGGCTATTTCGTTATATTTTGCGGTATGGTGGAAGCTCACCGCCTGGTGTATTTGGGCAACGTTTCCTGCTCGTGGATGGAACTGCCACTTCAACCCAACTCCTCTGCTCCTGTGATGTTCAGATCCAGGCCAGTGAAATCACCATCATTACTTCAGGGAGCAGCATGGTACATCAACCTTAACTAAAACGGGGTTTTGATGTAGGGGGTGCGTTACTGTAGACACGACTATTGCAGTAAGACTGTCTGGTATATGTTTAACGGCCGCCCGTACATGAGAGATAAAACGGTCCTTTGAAAAAGATTTGCTAGCTACAACCGCCATCGTCGCGATAAATGCTACCGAGATTGAAGTAGAAGTCTAGGCTGCCTGAATTTTGGGCAAAGCCATCTTTACCCGGCCTGGCAACGCCGATAACGGTAACTACCATCACAGTCCGTCATGCCGTGGATCGTGGATGGAGTTTGCGACCTACGATTAGTATCACTGCAGCTGCTTTGTTCAGTATATAACATTGCTGCCTCTGTGAATACCTGCCCATGTTCCTCACACACCGCATTACTGCTCGCGCTAAGGAAAGTCGACCGGGCGATTTCCTAATAAACGACATTGACTTCACTCTCCTGCGGCATGTTCCCATGTGCCTTCTAATTCTGCTCAACCTACTTGTGGGCGTGGTCATGCGACCGGTGCCAGAGCTAGGACGGCTAGGTGCCGGTCCCTGTGAGGCGCAGACGGGAGATTTCAATTTTCGAGCACCACCGTTTTTAATAGCATCCAATCTTGCATCAAAATAGCGTAGTCCACTGGGCGTCTTTGATTTGAAAAGCCTGCGTGATCGTAGCATTGTAAGAGAAGCGAAAGGCAGGCAAGGCCCGCGGGGACAGCCTGATTATTTCCTCCCTTCAACTAGCTTCTGGCCGAGCTGTTTGCAGACAAAGGACCCAGCAGCTTGGCATGTCTGTTTCGTCTCTTCCTTCGTTGCCTGGGTTTCCCTTCGCCGTCGTTCCTAGGTCAACTTGCCCTAGCGCGGGGGAGCTGCCCTTTTTCCTTCGACAGCCCATTTTATTATTCTTTTTAGCCCCCGCTTCCTCCTGGTCTTCCACATCCGCCCTTTGGCATTCCTTACCAACACCACTCTCTTCACCCGGGATTGTCTCCATTTCCGATTCTGCCTCATTGGTGGTTCTACCTTCTGCGTGATTCTCGCGCTCGGCGCTACTTCTGCTGTCAGACTCTATATATCTCTCTACCCCTCCGTCGCTGTTGGCCACATCGTCTTTCTTGGTCTTCGGTCGGTCATCTCCATCTCCACCCACGTCTCTGCAGACGAGGGCGCTGTTGGCCGGGTCCGACAGGACAGCGAGCATATCCTCTCCCTGCACTACACCCCACCCGAACTTCACCTACCTACATCCGGGTTATTACCTCTTCTCGGTCGTCGGCTTCTAGGGTGGTTACCCCACTTGTATCCCAATACCCAGGCTTGAGACCCTTGCCTCGTCTTGGTAGACATCCGCACTCTCTCCACGGGCGCTCGAGCAGCAACAGAAGTCACCGCGCTCAGCACCACCAAGCATCATTGCCACCGAACATTGGCAAATAATCATTGTGCGTAAGGCCTCGTCTCTGATTTGTTCCACCTTGCACGCACCTAACAACAAATCTCCAGCTCTGCCCCCCGCTATCTTCACCCCATCGCTGCTTCCCTACGGTCCACCATGGTCAACAAGAACAAGCAGGGCAAACACAAGAAGCCCAAGCAGCGCAGGGTCCCTAGAGTGAGGGTCCGCAATGATCCCGCCCTTGCCGAAGCCCAAGGTGCCATTCTGAACAACCCTTCCCTGGCATGTCGACACTCCAGCGGCTTCACGACGTGCGGTTCGTCGATCAACTGATAGCGGAGCACAATCGCACCACTACCGAAGCAGAACGCGACGCGGAAATGGCAAACTTTACGGCAATCCTCGACCGCATCTCTCTCGGCGAGGCGGTCTATATTGATCAGGACTTGCGGCCTGTCGAAAACCCCGGCCTCTATATCTCGGGCCCGGCTGGCAGTGCCATGGCCGGCAGCAGTCCCTCGCAGCTCGAGGGCGATGGGCAAGAGCGCGACCCCAGGGTCAAGCACATCTTCCGCCTCGACAGGGAGAACATGAGGATGATTTTCGCCCTGGTCAGCGGGTTACCCCAACCACAACCGTGATAGACGACGGATCGTGGGGAGAACAGAAAAAGAAAACAACAAAATGTGGCCCGGGCTGCGAATGCGGCTGAGGCATTGTTCCCGGTCTGGCCGGCCCTATTTCACGAGATTCCGCACGTGCGGCCCGCGCATGACTTTTTCGCGGGCCCGGCTTCGGGCATGGGCGCCTCCTCGCTGTCGAGGACATGGGAAACCATGTCCACGATACACCATGGGGTGGTGGCCATGTCCGCGACACTCCATGGGGTCCGGACTGGTGGCCATATGCGCGACAGTGGGGTGGCGACCATGTCCACGATAGTGGGGTGGCGGCGCCGGCGGGACGTGGAAGGGATGGAATGATGCTTGGGGATTGAGTTTGGTGATTGGTGGTATTTGGGGATTGATGTTTGGGGGTTAATGCTTGGAGATTGATGTTTGGGGATTGAGACTTTTTGGTGTGGGAGGAGACAAGCCATTTGCTTGTTGTATCTAGATGTATTACAAGTCTTTCTATTCTCGTCATTGTTCCCTCTCCCGTGCTACATGATCTTGACTCTCACGGCCCCAGTGACACACTTGCTTCACTTCTTTTGCTCGGTGCCTGACTCAGACCAAACCCCCTTAATTAGGGCTTCACGTCATACTAGTCTTGTTGGTGTCCTGATCAGAGTGTCCTAGTTCATGCTACTCATCTAATTAATTACTAACAAACCAAAAGAAAGAGGGCGTCTCCGGCTACTGTAAAATCGTCCCCATCCACTGGAGGTACATAGGCCCCTAAGTATTACAACTCACCGCCCAGGAAAATACCACATTTTACAGCTAAAATTACCACATTCGCCGGCTGCCTCGCCCTAAGCGCTGGCATCGCAATTGTACCGCCATTGCACCTCGCCGCCGTCGCCAACGTCAACAACTTCCAAATACGGTAATTGAACCTCCCGACCGTAGATTCGCTCAAATCGTTCAAATCTGCAATAAAAAGCGAAGCTGACTTAGTTGAATTCGCTTATATAACGAAGCCAAAAATGCAATAAAAAACTGCTTACCTGCTTATAACTACTCTTAACTGCTCATAACTGACTGCCCTACTAATCCATGCCTTCCAATACCCGGGTAGTAGGTCGCGGAACCCTTCCACTATGTGTAGGCTTTGCAATACGACCTTCAGCCACTGCAGAGGCTACAGGGCCACGTGAAGCTCGTGATGTTGTGCCGCCCCGGCGGCCACCGTGTTGTGTGCCTTGGTGTTGTGAAGCTCGTGATGCTGTGCCGCCCCGGCTACCGCGCTATGTGCCCCCGGGTTCCTGTGCCCCGGCTACCCTGAGCTGTATTAAGATTGTTAACAGTACGGTGACGAGGTTCCACAGATTGGCTGAGCTCATCAACGCCGTCGTCGTCGTCTTCGTCGATATCGTGCCCTCGTCAAGGGTAACGCTCTCCCACTATGAGGCATGCTGGCGAATAGAAAGCATAAGCCCGGACTGCCTACTCGGCTACCCGGCCGGCTGTGTGGCTCTCGGCTGTGTAGTCGGGACCCTCGGTATGTTCGGCTCGGCGGCGAAGGCATTCGAGTTGCGCGGCCTGCCCCAAAGGTTTCCGACTCCATCAAACTCTTGGTACTGCAAGTAATTGTCTCGGTCAAGTTAGGATCTATCCAGGTACTAATATGGATGAAAATCGATCTTTTGAAGCTTCAAAGTACCTTCTCGGTAACGCTGAAGGAGATCATGAACGCAAGGAATGCCACACTGCGCCCGGAACCGACCGGTGCAGGGCTTCAGGGGCCAGGCGCGGTCCTCGAGAGCAGATTCCATCTTTTCGTATTAACTTATAACACGATCGAGGGCATCTTAACACACGTTATAGCGAGCATCGCCAAGCCACTATCGACCTAGGTGGTCGAAGTGAATACGCTCTTTTTACTTCGTAGTCAACTTATCGTAGGCTTCCTTCATACCCTCCCCCATATCAAGTAACTATTATACGGTCTGGAAGGTATTACTATTACCGGTAATAATAAAAGACTTGAGAAGCTTATTGACTGACTTAATTGGTGATGTGGTGCGTTGACTGAAGCTGAGGACGTTGTCGGTGTAGCAAGTTGCCCACTCTTCAACAAGTAGCATATAGGTTCGTCACTAGGCGCATCGCTGGGAATCGGCGGAATCGCTCGAATCGCTGAAGTCTTCAAGATCGGGCATTTCTGAAGCTAAGTTGGCACAGCCGCGATGATAAACAATGAAGGAAATGAAGCCTTACTGATGCATCGATTGATTGAAGTTGTTGGCGATGATTTTGGTGGTGGTTTGGTTGACAAGGAAGGCTGCAGTGGAATACGAAGGTTGCAGTGGAATACGAAGGTTGCAGTGGAATACAAAGGTTGCAGCGGAATTAGGTTGCGTTCTGGTAAAAGTGGTAAATTACGTAGCGGCAGAATTTTGGATGTACCAATATTTATAGGGGTAGGGTTATGTATTGAGGAATACGGCGGATGACGATTTTACAGCAGCCGGAGACGCCCCCAAAAGAAAACAGGATAACAGTTAGTTATCAGATGTCCGATACCACTGTAAATGCTAATTAGTTATCAGATGTCCGATACCACTGTAAATGCTAATTACCTCCCTATGTCATGCTACGCTACGTTACCATGCTATGCCTAACCAACCCTCTGTCTTCAAGCTCAAACAAGATAAAACACCCTCATCCTCTCCTTCCCCCCCTCGCCCGCCACACTCACAGCCTCGCCGCCCATAATCCCATACACAAACGCCTCTCCCACCAGCTTATGCCTTTTCTCCCCACTAACACCCCCACCCTCACAGCCGCCAGCAAAATCAACCTCACGCAAGAGAAACACCGTCCTCCCCCCGCGCAACACACAAACCCTGTCACCAACAGCTGCATTCCACGGCGCAAGCCCGATAAACCCCCGCCTTGTGACCAACAGCCGCCGGTGCGCGCACGCTGCCCGAATCCGCGCCAGGTATGTGGCGTAGACATTCTCAGACCCAGCCGTGTCGAACCCTGGCTCGATGCGCCGCAGCTCGGCGTGCAGGTCCCAGTGCAGGTGCGTGTTGTCGACGTTCATGCCCGCGAGCTGCCACACATTTAGGTGCGCGAGGGCGTCGGTTGGATGCGGCTTTGAGGATTGGTCAGGGGAGGAGCGGAGGGAGGGGGGTCGTTGATTCGCCCACGACTTGGCCTGTGTGCGGTCCGCAAAGGCTTCCATGTACACGCGGCCGACGCCGGTGTCGCGCGGGGGTAGGATCTGTGTCTGCGGGTGGTGTGTCTGCGGGTGGTGTGGAGAGGTAGTAGGCTCACCGGCGCAGTCGGCGATCTGCGTACGCCAGAACGCTTCGGCGCGGGATTCTGGGGTTGTGTATGGGCACGCATAATCGCTGTCGGTGTCGTCTTTTTCGTCACTGTTGTCCTCGTCAAGGGGGGTAAAAGACATATCGAGCGCCAGCGCCTCCCACGCGGCCAGCTCGGGCGCGCCGCGCCTCGTGAGCGCCGGGCTGCTGCTTGCGTCTGGGTGCCACGGCGGTGACAGCGCCGTGACCGTGTCGAACAGCAGCCCGTCGACGGCGAGCACATCGGCGTCGGCGTCGGCGTCGGTGCGGTACGAGACGGCGGCGCCGCTTCCCTCCATCATCTCCATAGCGCCGCAGGCCGCGTACCTCGGCAGCGCGTCGGCGGCCCAGCCCAGCAGCGGCTGCGCGTCGCGGTGCGTGTGCGCGTGCCAGTTGGGCACCCATGACGGCAGCTGCGCGAGGGTGTGCGCGTCGGCATCCGCGTCGGCGGCGGCGGCGGCGGCGGCGGCGGCGGCGGCGGCGGCGGCGGCAGCGGCAGCGGCTGGTGTTGCATGGGACAGCTGCGGGCACGGTGGGAGCGGTCGCGGCTTCGGCTCGTAGCGGACGTGGGCGCGGCCGAGGTTGTCCCAGGTCTTGGCCCAGCCGGGCGGCAGCTCGCGCTGGCGGGCGGGGTGCTGGGCGAGCGGCAGCGGCAGCGGCAGCGGCAGCGGCAGGCGGCGGCCGCCGTCGAGCGGGCTCGCGTCATGCAGCGTGCCCGTGTTGTGGTCGTAGTAGCGCGCCGTCGCGCCGCCCTTGACGGCGGCCTTGAGGCCCTTCCACGACGCCCAGATGGATCTGCCCTCGGCGGCGTTCTGGAGGGGGATGCGCTCCCACCCCGGCGGCAGCCGCGCCCAGGCCCGCCGCGGCTTGGTGCCGGGGCCGTCGCTGACCAGCGCGCCAACGTCGTGGTACTTGGCCTGGTCGAGCAGGCTGAAGGCGTATGCCGGAGGTGCGGGCACGTCGATGCCGCGCCACTCGCGCACGCAGTTGAGCATGTCGAGCGACCGGGTGGCGTTGATGACGCTCAGTGTCGAGTGGACGAAGACGTCGTGCGTCGAGCTGGTGTAGTCTGGCCGGATGCCGAGCTGTCGGCCGCCGGCGGTGGCGAGCCCCAGGCAGGCGAAGACGCGGTCCCGCGGGTTGGTGCACTGCAGGTGGCGGAGCTGGAACAGCAGGTCGTAGATGCTGAGGTGGAAGGTGCCCGTGGCCCAGAGGCTGCGCAGCCGCGACATGAGCTGGAAGTTCTCGTCCTGGATCGAGCACAGCTCCGGGTTGAGAAGCGTGCCGAACACCTCGGTGGCGCCCGAGGCGTTTGCCACGCCGGTGAGGGCGTTCAGGCCCTTGCGCTCCCGAGCCAGAGAGCGCTCGATATTGGCCCACGTGAAGGTGTCCGACCCGACCATGAAGATGACGGCGCTACCGACGACGACTTCCTGCACGACCCAGATGCGCGTCCACCACGGGCGGGTCAGCAGCTCGCGCATGTCGCCCATGTTGATCTCGTGGTCGAGCTGGCCGGACCAGCCCCAGGCGACGCCGTTGGTGGGGCTGCGCAGCGGGTGGCTGGGCCCGGACAGGTCCGTCATGTACGTGTTGGCGACCGACTTGCCCGTCGTGGCCAGGACGCCGAGGCCGACGGGGTCGTGCAGGTCGTTGACGGCGATGGCGGTGCCGTCGGCCGGCTCGCCCAGCCACACGCACACCTGGGCCGCCTGCTCGTAGATGCTGCGCATCAGCCCCAGCTGGCCCTCCTTTTCGCGCGCGTCGGCCTGGTCGATGCAGATGGCGTCGACCCACATGGTGCGCCGGCCCGTCGTGCGCCTGAGCCGCCGCAGCGCCGCCGCCGCATTCTCCTGGACGGGCACCAGCCGCCCGTTGAGCTGCATCTCGCTCAGTACCCCTGGCGCGCCCCACGTGTACGAGAGGGCTTCGAAGGCCGGACTGTCGGACAGGCGGGCGTGCTGCAGCGAGCAGACAAGCACGTCGCCGAGCGCGGGCGCCGGCTCAATCTGCAGCAGCCGGAACTCTCCACGCCCCGCGTCGAGGCTCGAATACAGCGGTAGCGCCATCAGTCACCAATTTGTCCGTTCGTGAATGCAACCGAAGAGATAACGCGAGCAGCCCGAGTTTTAGCATTGTGATGGAGGAGTCAGACGCTGTTTTTTTCTCCATGGCAGCCTAGCAGGGGCCGTCTCGCTAAAGCATCCCGACTGGGGGTATGGAAACGAAGCTAAGGGAGGCTATTCAGTAATCGACCAATTACGGAGGGGAGTGGAGGCAGATCTCTCCTCTCAGGCCTGTCCAAGTAATCGGCAAGTCTAGCCGGGGTTACACAAGCAACGACGTCTTCAACTTCTTGTCCTATCTTCTCCATGAACTTCTTGTCCTGTCTTCTCCGTGATTCATCCAAATCGATTAGGTACCAAAGTATGCTTCAAGCTTTGAGGCGGACTCGGGTAGAAGCCCGAAGTAACTTTCAGTTGGGAATTTTGCAAGGTCTCCGGCCGATGAGGTAATTCGATGGTACCACCAGGCCAGACAACAGCAGAGTAACCTCGCCGTCCCTTTCACCGCTCAAATGCATGTGTGAGACTAGAGGCAAACCCAGCCAAGGCCCAAGGCCCAAGGCTCGAGCTTCATGAGAAGATCAGACAGCCACCGCACAAAGACACAATCGTTTATTGTACAGGTAACAAGGTGGGGGAAATAGCGCCGGCTCAATCATTGTCTAATTAGTTCTCGTCTCTCCTGCCTCCTCGGCTATATGCGTCCTCGAGCTTGTTCGCCTCCTGTCTGAGTATTATTACATTAGATCTGATCACGCCTAGCTAGATCTGATCACGCCTAGTTAGATCTGATCGCGCCTTTCTTATCGCATCGCAAGCCGCTCGTACAAGGCCAGTAGGCAGGTGGTAGATACAGTGGCATGGCAGACTATCTATATCCCCCCTTTTGATCCCCTTTTAATTCAAACTCCAGTCCAGGTCTCCCGCTCCTCCCCAAAAAATATCCAGATCCCCGTGGCCTGTCTCGGCTGTGTCCCTGTCCCTGTCCTTGTCCTAGTTTATTGCCTCGATTTGTCCGGAACCGAGGAGACCTCTGCAGGCCCTGATTTTCTTTTTTGCTCGTCTACTACTCCTCCTTGCTGTCGCCACCGTCGGCGCAGGCCGGGGCGGGCTGCACGTTCTGGCACGGCACGCCCTGGGCCTCGGCGCGTCGGGCCACCCGCGTCATGGTGACGGGCTGGCGGGCCTCGACTATGGCAGGCTGCAGTTTCCGGGCGCTGTTAGTTTCCGGGCTTGGTAGAGAGGAAATGGGGGCGGCAGAACTCACCTGGGTCGCGCGGGGGAAGATGGTGCTAGTCGACCTCTCAGTCTCGACCACCGTCCGTCTGCTGGTGAAAGTGACGACGGTGGGCCGTCTAGTGCTAGTCGTGCGCACCGTGGTGGTGGCACGAACCGTGGTCTGAGCAGCAGTGGTACGGCGTGTCGTAACCAGAGTTGTGCTGTGAGTCGACGTGGGAGTCACGGTGGTGCGGTGAGTCGATGTGACAGTAGTCCGGCGGGTCGAGGTGGGAGTTACGGTGGTGTGGCTAGTCGACGTGAGGGTTGCGGTGGTGCGGCGAGTCGACGTGAGAGTTGCGGTGGTGCGGCGAGTCGACGTGGGAGTCACGGTGGTGCGGTGGGTCGACGTGACAGTCGTTCGGTGGGTCGAGGTGGGAGTTACGGTGGTGTGGCTAGTCGACGTGAGGGTTGCGGTGGTGCGGCGAGTCGATGTGAGAGTTGCGGTGGTGCGGCGAGTCGATGTGGGAGTTGCGGTGGTGCGGCGAGTCGACGTGACAGTAGTCCGGCGAGTCGAGGTAGTCAACGTTGGGCGCGTGGTGACTCTGGTGGTATTACCAGTCGTCCTGGTCGTGGTGCGGGTAACGGGCGTGGGGCAGATGGTGATGACGGACGAGCCAATGGTCACAGTGGTGTCGAAGACGGACGTCGACACGACTGTGACGGTGGTCCGGCCGGGAAGGGTAATGGTGGTCGGGGTGCCGATGGTGGCGGTAGAGACGATCTTGGTGGTGATGGGCACCTCAGTGACCTCGATCGTTTCCGTCTCCTCAATGGTCCGGGTGCTGACCGGGCCCGAGATTGTGACGGTAGTGGGCTTGTCAATCGTGACAGTGGTCTGCGGGAGCGTGACCGTGGTAGCCTGGCTGACCGTGATCCTGGTGCGCGGGACTGTGACCGTGGTAGGCCTGTCGAGGGTCACGGTGGTTCCCGGCAGGGTAAGCGTGGTTGGCTCGTCGACGGTGATGGTGTAGCCCTTGGTGACAGTAAAGCCGGGGCCCGGAACAGTGACGATGGTTGGCCTGTCGGTGACCGTCTTGGTAGTGCCCGGCAGCGAGATGGTAGTCGGCTCGTCAACCGTGACGGTGGTGCCGCGAGTTCTGCTGGTGGTGGTGAAAGGGCGCCGCGAGGTGGTGGTGGTGGTAAAGGGGCGCCGCGATGTGGTGACGGTGGTGACGGTGGTGCCTCTGGTAACAGTGGCGGTGCGCGTGGCAGTGAGCGTAGCTTCGCAGCTCCTGTGGTACTCTTCGTCCCAGACCCATCCGTAGCCGTCGCGCATAGTGATGGTAGAATTTCCACGCAACTCGCCCGTGTTGGTAGCATACGAAGCCTGGCAGGTTTGGAACCAGTAAGAGACCGGGACCGCTAGCAGCAATTAAGCGACACTTGGACCCAGTACTTACATCGTATTCGCGGGTATACATGGCGCAGTACAAGCCCTGGGGTCTCTCGTCCTCGTACAGTTCATAGGCAACAAAGAAGCGCTGCGACAAGTTCGGGTTAGTACTCTCCCGTCTCATGTCTCGAAGGAATTGGGAGGAAAGCAAAGAGGGCAAGATGCAAGACGGCGTACGCAGGTCATGTAGCTTCCGTCGAGAGCAGGGTGATTGCGGTTGTAGCGCGTGGTGCTGGTGCACGAGGCGGCGCAGAGGTCGGGGATGAAGCTCTCGGGGAAGAACTTCTGGCCGATGTACGTCTCGCGGCCAAACTCATCGAGGGGCGCGTTGATGGTGGCGTTGCCGAAGGGGATGGGGCCATGGTAGCCATCGATGTGCGTCTGGGCGACGACCTGGGCTTGCTTGGCTCCGGCGACAGTCGAGGGCAGCGAGAGGGACAAGCCCGCAGCGAGCAGCGCCGATAGCGATCCCTTCATATTGGTCAGTTGAGGAATTAGACCCAGTTGGACCGAAAAAAAAGGGGGGGGCTGATCCGAAAAGGCAGAGCAGAAGAGGACAAAAGCAGGGCAACGAAGAGACGACAGGGACGGCTGGGACGGCTGGGATTCGGACTCGACTCGACTCGACTCGACTCGACTCGACTCGACTCGGATCCGGACTGGAGGTGAGGATTCTGGGTCTATCGGGGAAAGGAGAGCTGGACAAAAGCTCGATGCAGGAGGCAAAATATATAGACAAATGTCGGTCATGCCGATCTGCTCTGCTTGGTCGGCAATGGCAGACCTGCTGGGCTGCCGGGCCCGCCATTTGCAGCCATTTGCAACCATTTGCAGCCATATCTGCACGCCAAAAGCTTGGAGTTGGCAGTCTTGGTTGTCTGCATCGTTCGACTGCCAATCCACTTCCCGGCCAAAGGTTTGGTACCTGGGCCTAGTGCTGGCCAGCTCCCGCTTGGCGCGCAGGTTTTAGAGTTTGGCACTCCCGGGAAGGCACTGAGGTTGGGACGAGGTTCCTGCCAAATTTGTCTCACCCGTCGCTCGTCTGCCCGTTCTATTAATCATCACAGAATCCCATGCCAATCTCAACGCTTCCCCAGACACTAATTCGGCAGAAAGCTACGACAGAAGGGCTCGGCCCCCTAGACCATCCCAATTTTCCAAACCCTTACATAACAAACCTAATAAGGTAAACGAGGTACATTGCCCAAGCAGCAAGCCCACTGGGCTGTAATACATCAATCCCGGTCGGCACCACAAGAGACTAGCAGCTATGTGGACGTCAGCACGAATTTAAGCGAAGCCAATGTAGCAAGATCAGTTCAACGCAAACTAGAACGCCTTCTACCAGTGCCAAAGCCAGACACCCAAATCTATGCTGCCTTATTACTGCACACGTAATCTGCCATTTGCCGCTGTCAAACCCCAGACTTCCAGCTTCAAAGCCCGCCCTCAGATACCCCCTCAAGCAGCAAACACCACTGTTATGGAGAACCGACCAGGGTGCTATGGTAAATGACGAACCAGGTGGGAAGCTCCAAGGTTCGAGGCTGCAGAAGTCAGTCCTGGACGGGGTATTAGGGGTCCTGTAGGCAAGGGAGCATCCGCAACTCTGTTCTTTGTGAAACGCCCTGATCCTTGTGACAGCTCTGCTCTCGGCAGCCGACTGGTTGGTGTATATTAAGCAGTGCTCCCGACAATGTGAATGGGGCCATGGGCTGACCTGCGACGCCCCTCACCACTCATGACGGCGGAAGTTGCCGCCCAGCAATCCGTATTTCCCGGTCGACAGACGCCGAAGCTCGGTAAGGGGATCGATAAGGTTAAGGTCGGCTGTCGACAAGAGGATGCTATTGCCAGCGGTGGGCCGGCAGGGCTTCGGAACTTGGAAGCTAAAAGCATGGAGACGAGGCGGGACTTAAGCTGGGAAATGACCTTGGGTACCTCGGCACCGCTCATGACAAGCACGGATTCAAGACTGCAAGCTCCCAAGCCTCAATCTGCATCTTGATACGTCAAGGTGCCGCGCCGCCTTCGATGTCGCCGCACTCCTTGTGACATCTCATGAAGTGGCTGCACGACCTCCCGTTGCTGCCGAGCAGCCTCGGTGTGAGCAGTCTCCAAAGCTCTTGCTGAGATGACTGGGACGAAGTCGAACAGGATCAGATTCTATTGTTGACTACCGCTGCATGACATGTAGACTGTGTCGAAGAAGAGTGGAGACATCATTCGCCCCGCCAGCCACGCCTAGGAAACCCCAGTCAAAGTCGACCATGCTCCATGAACCACTCCTCCTCCTGACCGCATGTCTAACGTGCCACAGACACTGGCGGCCTCGACAGTAATGTGATCACTCGCCCCGAACCCCATCCGCCTTCGACCAGTCTCGCTGATGGTGTCAAGAGTTGATGCGCTGCGTGGATGTAGTAGAATTAGAGAGAGCCGCAGAGATCTGAGAACAGGATCAACCGTTATTAGCTAAGGGTATTGATGCAAACTGTGCAGCAGTTGGAGCTGGGTCTTACCTCTGGCTGGTGCTTCCGACGGGCAGATGAGACGACCGGAAAGAAGCCCAGAGCGTCCAGGATAAGGTCGATCTGTCCTGGGGGCGGAGATTAAGACTCGAGAAATATCTGGACGAATGCCTAGGCAACAAGAGGAAGTGTCGCTGATAATGGTTGTTGGAGTGAAATGTTGGCTCCATCCAGAGCAGGCAGACCAAAGTGTAGAAGGAGGGCCAAATGTTGAGTGACTTGTGGGTGGCGGTTGAGGCGAGCTGGCCGCCGGGTTAGGCTACGTGTTTGTTTGTGTGTGTGTGTGTGTGTGTGTGTGTGTGTGTGTGTGTGTGTGTGTGTGTGTGTGTGTGTGTGTGTGGCTACGTGTTTGTTTGCGTGTGTGTGTGTGTGTGTGTGGCTACGTGTTTGTTTGCGTGTGTGTGTGTGTGTGTGTGGCTACGTGTTTGTTTGCGTGTGTGTGTGTGTGTGTCGGCTCTAATGATGATGGACAGCCAATGTTCCCAAATTCCCCTCTGGTCTGTCCTCCATCGAGTTGGGCGAGTTAGGTCTCGGTCCCCTTCCCCGCTGGGTGAGCCCAGCGAGGAAGGGGCCGAATCTCCAAAAGCTGCCGAGGACGATCTTGGACAAGGAGAAAAGCGTCCAAAGTGTCCTCGGCTGCCTTTACAGACTATTTTTAGGTGCTCTCGTCGTTGCCGTAAAGATACCTAGGCCAGTCAGACGTGGTCAGCAACACAATCAAGAGAAGTTCAGGTGGAGAGTGGGTTGCAGAGGGGAACAGCTCACCGATAAAATATCGAAAAATGATATTCGATAATGATTATAACTAAAAGGATAATCGGATATCCATATTGTCATCGCCGGCCGATGTTACCATCTAGATAGTGCAAAAACTGCTGGCCAAAGTCAGTTGGTGGCGAGCAACAAGCTGGCGGCCAAATGGGAGAGCTACGGTGAGTCGAGGCATTAGAATGGCTTACCCCCCAAGCTGCTTGCCAAAGCATTAGCCTCGGTGGTGGCGGCGGCGGCGTGCCAAGAAAAATTAATGCCAAATAAATGAAAACTGGGATAAGATGAGCCCAAAAAGAAAAGAAGTCGAGGCTGAAGGCTGTTGTTTTTGCTGAAGAACCAGACAATGGTGCAGTCCGGATGCAAGTTGGACGAAGCTGGAGGAGAAAAGAAACACGGTCTGGGTCATTTGGGGCCTAGGACTTAAAGACCATCTGACTCGCTCTGGGGTGGTCTGATCTGCCTACCTCCCTAAGCAGGTGTCTGTCCTTGATGCTTCACTGCCTGGGCATCTACGACAACGCGCCTACTAATCTGGGCGGTTAATGATGCGGCTTGCGTCATGGGGGAGCGGAAGAGACAAGTTCAGCAGGCAAGCACATGTGCAAGTTAGGTAACATGGACAGATTCCACTGGGTAATTACAGTGAGAAACAGGCTAGTTGTCTGCGACGAATCTGGGCACACGATATTTCCTTTTTCGTTCGTCATCCTGAGCTGGGGTGAGCTGACAACAACAGCAACGTCACCTGTCTATGCTCTTATCTGGTTGACGAGTCATTCTCTACAGTACTATTAGGGATATTTAGGCCGTCTTTTAAATTTCCGATTCCTGCTAGAGAGATGTTGGAGAATTTAGTGATGTGAGCAGTTAAGTTTGTGATAAAGTTTTCATCTTCATATGATCGAATTCCCGACCTCGTCGATGCTCAGGTACGGATAGTCTTCCTAGGTACGCACTTATTCTGTCGGCAGAAAATTATGCAGCGTCTAACTCTCGTTCCTCCGTATTCTGCACCGTTTCTACCGGCAGAATATGAGACCCAGTTCTCGGCCACGAGCCCATATTTTTGTCCCCGCTACCGTCGGCTATGTACACCTCCCCTGGGGTAATAAATGTCACCTTTTACCTGGCCCACTTAGTGCTTCACTGCTGTTTTTGACTGGTCGGCTATGCCGAATTTGATTGGCTGCTAATCTACACTTCTGCTAATTTGCACTTGAGCCCAGACATCTTCCGCGTACTCCTCTAGTTCTTGAACGCTGAAAACGAAGTCTCCCTCCCTAGGGCCTAGATCTCTAAGGAAGAGAAGCCTGAACGACAGTATCAATGCGCCACTAGTGACATTTTACGATGTCGGCCGGCTCGCCCCAACGGATCTTCAACATTTCTGAATTCAACTACGTCTCGTCGCAGGTCTAGCCAGCGCGCCCAACCAGGGTATCCTTCTCAACACGGCCACTGCTTTCCTCCAAGGCCTGTACCCCCCTCTGATCGATCTTAAGGCTGAGGTCGCTAGCCAGACCCTTAATAACGGTACTAACTCGACATCCCCGCTGAATGGTTACCAGTACGTGACCCTCCAAGGCGTGATTGGCAACTCTCCGGACACCATCTAGATCAGTAGTATATCCACGTGGGCCGGGTGGTGGGTGATTCAGCCGCTTGGCTGCATTTTAGCGCCAAAAAAGGCCCGTGCGATCAGCACGTTAAAAGATCCAACCATATGCACTATCGGCCCCGCCGAAAGAAGCCGTAAAAAGAGTGCCAAAAAGAGTTTGAAAAAAGGTCAAAAAATTCGAAGAAAAGGTTTAAAGGTAGCTTTTAATCGAGGCTCTAAAATGGTTCGAAAAGCAAGTTAAAAGGTGGTTCTATTTGCGAGTTATTTTGGCTTATGGCCCACAAGTCTTGCCTTCCGGCTAGCCCGTAGCTGCTTACAGAACTTGTCAATGGAGCAGCCAATTTGCTGCTGTTGAAGGTGAACTATACGGACGGGGGCTTCCTCGCTCGTACGCTAGGCTCGTACGATCCGCTAGACCTCCTTAACAACTTCGGACCGTAAAGAATACCACTGCAGTTTAGTCTGCGGCCCGCCCTCCACCGGTTCTCCCATCTCCGATTAAGAGTAGCCACGGCCGGCCCGCCCTGGAGGCCGACAGTACACTCACGCCAAAGGTCTGCCACCGTCCTGACTGTACGGCTCATGCGGTACTGTGGCGGCTGTTCTTCTCCTTCAACCGGTAGCCAGCTGATTGTGGGAGCCGGGCTACAAAGGCGGCTGGCAGCCGAGCCGTACTGGCTCTCTTCATCTGGGCCAGGTCTAGGCCTAGCCGGTTGGCTACCGAGTTGGCT